AAAAAACCGACCTCAAAAAATTTGATAAAGAAACTTTTGTTGAATGTGCGGAGGCTTTGTGTAAGTTAATACCTCGTAGATTTTTATTAAGCTAATGCGTGCAATTTAGGCAAAGGTATAACCTCCGTAATAAGTCCGTTAAATATATTTTATCATATAAAAGAATGTGTATATTGAGTAAAAACTGCTCGCTTGGTTTTCAGATCTTTACCATATTATATAATCCTCACCAATAAATGGATTTGTATCCGTAGTGGTCCGGCCGTATTTACCTAGTCCTTTGTAGTGTAGATTTAACACTACAGCAACGATTTGCAACCTTTTGGCAAGAACAACATGGTGGTAGACAAAGTTTAAAGCTGACTGGATTTCCGATATTAACCCTAGAACCTCAACGAACCTACACAAGTTTTGGTCATATGAGGCTATTTTTTATAAATGTTAGCTACATACTAGTAGTTTAGTAGAGTGATATTCAACGCTAATCTGTGGAACGAGAATAATTTTTATTTTTTTCATTATTGATAATGGGAAAACATTGAATTACGTTATAATTGCTCCTAAAAATTGCATAAAACTGCTGAGAAAACCTTTTCAATTTGTCATAATCGGTAAATAAGGCCGGTTTCTCAATTGAGTAAAGAACAAAATCTCAACTGATTATTCTTGGTACCTTAATTTTTTTATGTTTCACGTGGCAAGAAGTTCTAGTTTTATCAAAATGACCATTAACTAAAATTAAATAGAAACGAAAACCTGTTTACGTGATATTTTAAATGGTTTAAGTACGGTTTAAGATGTGCTTATCTTTAAATTCTCAATCCATAAACGGAAATCGGGTTTATGGAAAGTTTTATGGAACAAAATTAAATACACTTTGACGGGGATCCCCCATGAGTAGGGATTTCTGAAAGGATCATAGGAATCTCGATGAAACACAATTATCTCAGTTTTGATTTTGCAAAAATTTGTCATCGTCGTTATCATTTATCCGGAATGGTCGCTTTATTTTGTTTTCATTTCATAGACTACAATACTTGGTATAAAGACTTATTTCAAAATCACCTTGTGTTTTATAGCCGGGTAGGGTTTTTGTTGGACAAAAAAAATACAACATGTAGGCGATTTATGGAAAATCTTAGGTTATAAGAAAATGACATCCTCTTCTTTTCATTTAACAAGATCCTATAGTATTATTTTATGCTTGGTAGCTTTTTTAATAATATGTTGTTTAGTTGTGAGGCGAATGGTAACGGACATTGATATGGCTCCTTAAGAGAATATTATTATGTCAATATTCCGAATAACATCTCTATTAACACTTGTTAACTCAGGCGAGCCACCATACGCGTCACTTGTTCATGTTTAATGAAATTGTTTGTGTGTTACCATTGCTGACTACATTAATAGGAAGTTGTTAGTTGCATATTTGCAAATACAAATCATTTTTCGAGTTTCTTTCGAGTGTTATGCAATCGGTGTATGAATCGTTGAATTGTATCGTTTCTTACCTGGTTGGCACGCGAGGTCACCTAATACGCAGTAGGTACTGAGTTTATCGATTGTGACCATTTCATCTGTTATACATCGTTGATTATGAGGCTATTCACATTTTGCAAGTACATATCGAGCCTTTTCAGGAAGAACATCGTAACCTCTATTTTGTGTATTTTACAGGAGAAGTTTTTTAAAATATTTCTTAAAGTATTGACATGACGATGTTATTGTTTTGAAAATTTCACTAAATGCGGTACAGGTGACTACCTGTTGACATGTTAAGTTTTGATGCAGCGCTTCAAATTCTTATACAAATGGCGCTTGAGTTGAAACCGTCGACAATGATAGTTAAAGGTGTTAGTATGTCGATTCCGATAATTCTGAAATATGAATCTAAAAGTATAAATAACAAATGTTGAAGTTTAAGTCTTTTTTTTAGAGATACCACAACAGTCAAATGGGTCAAAGAATTGGAAATTCTAAAAACATATTTATTTTTAATTAAGAGACCCCTAAGGTTTAAAAAACTATAGGTACTTATTTATCTAGAAGTAAAAATTACGAATAAACGGAATCAATAATTGAATTGGTCTCTGGTAACATATCCCTGGTATTTCCATCACACGGTTATCCAATAAGTAGTCGTCTGTTGCACATTTTCAAAAATAGCTTTTGATCCTCTAGAAACAACTTTGATGATCTTTCTTTGTCCTTTATATGATTCTTTCCTTTATTTTGTCTTCTTTACTCAAATTCTTTATTTTCTCGCGTTCATCACATTTGTCTTTTCTTCGTCTTAAATATATTTCTAAACTTTTTGACTAACTACACCTAACAAAATTAAAATAAAAGTTTCTATATAAATTGGCCATATCCTTAAATTCAATTAATAAGAATAATTTGTTACACATTTGTCAATATTCGCTTTAAAAAATGAAAATGTTATTGTATGGTGAATTTTAGGTGTATTTTTGTAATTTCATTTCTGTCAAAAACGACAAGTTTAGTTTTGGCTGAGACAGTACCATAGAAAAGTAACGTAATATTGTAAATTATATCTAACTTGGGCGATATTTCTTAGTACATAACCAATAGGAAGATTATTAGTGGACCCACCCTCTTAATAATATCCAGTAACCTAACTAATTTATGAAGCAAGTTAATATAGTTAATAAGTTTAATTGATTTCAAATATGTAGATACATCTTACTATGGAAAAATAATCACTGGGATTACTTAGTCTTTCAACTGTCGACAAAACTGATATGCATATACATAAAATAATACGTATTATGCTTTAATTTGTTAACATCAATAGAACTAGAACTTTAATTTTATATTTGTAATGTAAGTCTTTCACACCCCAGTGATGAATTAACTTTAAAATTTAAACACGGTTAAATTTATCTGAGACGCTTCACTTATAAGTACAGGTGTGTTTTGATACACTATGAAATATTACGTTCGTTAAAATATAAAAAAAATAGTTTTCATCCGTTCTACTACCAGCTTGTCAAGGTGATGCTTGTCAAGGAAAATCAAAACAACATCTAATTTATATGAACATTGAAATGTAATAATAATTAATAACATAATAACTAAACACTTTTTAGAATTTTGGCGCTTACGACGTTTTCCTGAAAATGCTCCATATATGTAATACAGGCTAGTTTATTGGGGGTCACTTGCTTGGAAAGTTCGATAATTTCGATTGGACTGTTTATTTTTTGTTTACTGGTTTAACTTGAATTCAGTTGTTTTTGATAGAACGCTAAAATATATAAAGAACTGATTCTGAATACTGTTAAACTTTTCTCGTGTTGTTTGTTTGTTTTGTCTGAAATGTAGCGTAAATGAAACTGCAATGTAATAATGAAGACTGAAGTTCTGGCTCGTTTCCATGAAGTAAATGTGTATACAGGAACGTCATTGTAATTGATTTGAAGAAAATTGTACGATACCCGTAATCTCTAAAAACAGTAACCAAAACAAAATAGTACGCTGCTTTCAAAATTTACCACACATTAAGCGCAGTGAAGTAATTATTTACACACTATACACTAACAGCGTTTAAAAAAAAAATAACGGAATCTAAGCGGGAGTGGGATCCCTTTGAGTGTAGTGCCGTTAGATCGTCATCGACACATCTGTCTAGCGAGCAACCGAACACATGCTCCACTCCAGATAAGGGAACAAAAATAAACGATGTTAATTCATTCGCCACTTACGATCGTGTGGAATGCTCACTCAATGAATGCTCACCACACACTTCCACTTCCTCCGCTTTCCTGATTGAGTGAGTGAATAATACAGACGTATTGAGAACGCGACCGTCTGTTATGGGTCGAAGTACATATGTTATGGATCTTTTTATATTGACAGCGTATATAGAGATAAAAACTTTCGGTCGTTGACCGTTTTCTATGATATGAATAAGTTAATATTTGCGATGTTTCCTTCACCTGATTTAGAGGAAGGAAAAACAGCAAATATGTCAATATAACAATACTCATCAATATAAAAAGTAATGAATATTATATTGATTCGCATTAAGTATAACTTAAGTAACTACTAAAACAACTTGGCTGCTTCTAAAAATATTTTAGAACTCTTCTATATTACTATTCTTAACAGCATGTAAAAAAATAGGCATATGAAGAAATGTTTTAAAACTCATAATAGTGCATGCAGATTTAACTACATATGCTTATTATGCATAATTTTATGGTGCATTCGTTATTATTAACTTGAATCGAGTCGCACTTTTAAAAAGGCAAAGAATCACAACATTGGGTGGGTTAATGTTTTACGTTATCAACATGCTATACAAATCTTAGGATTTTTATTTAATTTACTTATTACTTACGTCTATTTGTACAAGTGCCGGTATAATCGATATAACGTCAGAGAACAGGTTACTTCCACGTATCTGTAAACATACACTTCGACGTCGCAAACTCGGTCGGGGAAATCTTTGGCCTGGATAGCTAAAAGAATCTTTATTTACTGTTTGTTGGTTGTTTAGCTGCGTTTTGGCTGCGTAACCGAGGTGATCCTTATTCGAATGGTATGTCGAGCGAACGGCATGCTTGTCAGTTGCGTAAAGCAGTCTGTTCTACGGTCGCTGTGCGGTTGGACGTGTGAGAACGCCTCGCGTTATGTCGGGCTTTAATTAATCGTTTATATTGTGTGCTCGCATTGTTTAAGAATCGAGCCCGTGCTCAAGTGTGACGACCATGTTTGTGTGAGGAGAGTTATTAAATATTGTGCTGTGTTCTGACTCTGAATCAGATATTGTGTTTATGATTATCATAGTGCATCTAGCCTGATGGTTAGAAAAATTATAGTCGTTGGCATACGGCACTACGAAGATCCTTTTTATAAGTATGTACACAATGTAGTCGTGTAGGTCGAGCGTTGGACCTTATTTGTTTGCCGTATTCAGTTTTCCTTATAATAAATAATTGGGAAAAATTTTAAACTGTGTTGTGCTTTGTCCTCAGACATGTGACGGGCGCGAGCGGGCCGCCACCGGGATGCGGCCATCAGAGGAACAGATCCTTGGACTCTGTTCTTCAGAGGATACCAGAAGATGTGACGCCGACGTCGCCGGAAGGTGCGCCGCTGCGATTACCGCTTGATGCACCCGCACCGAGGCTGGCTTTACCACCAGAAGTGCCCGCCGGTTCCGATGACTCTGGTATTCACACACCCCCCGATGGCAACGATGATGACAGGCGACCGACGCCAGCTGCCGCGCGGTCGAGAGAAAGTCTTGATTCTGGCAATCCAGAAGACGTGGATAAACCACCTGACCCACCTGACGCGACCGTCGAAACTGTCACGAGATCAGAAGCTCACGCGGCTGATACTTCGAAAAACAAAGACTTTCTACTTCGTCTATTCGAAAGTACTCTATTCGATATGAGTATGGCGATCTCGTATCTGTTCAAGTCGAAAGAGGCCGGTGTACAGACTTATTTAGCTAACAAATTATTTTCATTCCCAAACGAAGACGTCGACTTTTACTTACCACAATTAGCGACTATGTATATAGAGATAGATGATGTGGCGGACGTACTTCGACCTTACTTAGTGCACAGATGTAAACAAAGCGCGGAGTTTTCGTTGCGCCTCGCGTGGTTGTTGACGGCTTTCGGTGGTGATGTTAAAAGATCAAAAGCAATGAAGTTAAGAGACTCTATATTAGCGGAGAAGATTAGGCCGGCGGCAAGGCGAGGCCATCACAGGTCCCAGTCTGACGCGTCGGCTCTGAGGCTGGCGACTCCGGGGAAGCATTTGGGTGACTTGGCATCCGGACGTGCCTTTGACAATGGATGCCTTTGTGGAGAACAATGTTCGTGCGGTGCACCAAGGCTAGCGCCGCAAATTCAGGTATTGTTTACTATTTTTTTTATCAAATTCTTTAGTTTACAACACCCGCACATGAGTATTAGAAAATAGTGACCAATAAAATTACCAATGTAGTAAATATAGTATAGTGTACGTTTACTATTGTATACTACTAGCTAAATCCGACCACGATCTGTTATGATTATGTTCGTAGTTAAAATCATGAAAGTTGGCAACGTTTCTAAAAATGATTAAAATATTTGTTAAAACAATATAAAATTTAAAAAATCTTAATGTCCATACCAATTGGTTTTTTGTTTGTATGTGCATGTTAATGAAAGATTTCTACGAATTTTAAACTACGCAGATGCGAATGAAACAACTCTAATAGTGTGTTCTAAAGAATATTTTCGTTTACTTGAAACGCGGTACATTTATAAATGTCGAAATTTTTAAACTATTGCATTAATAGGTTGAATATGTATCCAACATTTTGCATAAGTATATATCACAGTGTTTAACATTTCATAAACTTTAATAAAAGAGTGCGGTATGTAATGTAGAAGTCATTATGAGTATTGTATTTAAATAATATCCACTGAGGCTTGGGGAGGTGCGACCGACTTAGAATAACCTTTATTAACACGCGAGCTGCGTGTGCAAAATAATCTCACATATGGTGGTAATGTATATGTTAATTAATTAATGATAACATATTGCTCGGTAGTCCGATCTTAATTTTTGAACTCCGTCGTGTATCTGAGTCAGAGTTGACGTTCTTGAATGGCGTCATTTGCCGTGAGCTGTGTCCGTACGCGTCATGACATTGGAGATGTCCTAGTCAGTATCACTTTTTAGACATTCTCGGAACTTTTTGTTAATATGAAGTGTGAAAAAGTGATCGTTTATAAATATCTATAAATCAGATATGTGTTATTAGTAGGTTGAATGTTTTCACTCGAGAATAAATTAAATCGGTGCTCTGTGTACACTTACGAAACATATATTTGATAATGAAGATATTTATTATAGTGTTGATATTAATGTTGTGGATGTGAAGCTATACTAAGTTAGCAACTTTACTAATCAGTCATGATTACCAATTAGTATGCAGGTGTACAATTAAGGACGCTATCACTAAATTTAATGTTTTTATTATACCTGTTTATAGGTCAATTGCACTCAACGCACGTACGTATATCAAAACATAAAATTATAATGCCACATCTTCGTTTGTTAGACTTCTAAGTCTATACTAACATTAGAGGTAAATTTTTTAACTTTTGGTTTTTTTTTTTGGTTTAACGGGACGCTATATCATATGCGAGCGACATAGCCTATAATTTACGTGGCCTAAGTCGCGGGAAAACAGTTGGTAAATTGTAAATTAAAAGAAAATTGATTAAAATCAATTTGAGTATGCCGATATTTGCCAGACTCTGCAGTTTAGAATCTTTAAAGATATTCTCGTTGAAAATTTATTAAATAATGTAAGTTATCTTTGACGTTGGTAGATAAGATAGTTCATAATTACATTTAAGTCTATGTCAAATCGGAATCATTATCTACAAACAACTTTCTGGTTTTAGACTGCGCATAAAAGTGACGAGAAAACGTGATAAAATGGCAAGGAATGTCCATGAAACGTGTTGTGAAAGATGATGGTGTATCGCGCGAAATAAAACGATACAATTTTTTTAGGAGTTATGTACTCAACTCAAAGTCCATAAATGAATGACTGATGATCGGAAAAAAGTCGTTAAATAAAGTTTCATTAATTTGTTAAATACTTAAATTATGCCTAGTATATTATGGTTTTTCAGATTGAATTAATTTTTCGATTTCTTTTTTTGTTTGTATATTTTACTATATTGTTTTAAATTTTTAGTGTAAGACGGTAACTTATGAAATTTTTTATCAATTGTAATGAAATATGTGACAATCTACATAGTTTTTTCAGATATATCTATTCTAATATTTATAATATTAGGCTCAGAAACTACTGGATGGATTTTAAAATTCTTGTATTTACGAGATACAGCAAATGCGGGTGACAAAGGCTTTAATTTAAGAAGGCGAAGTTGAAGGAAAACAGCTAGTATGGATATAAAAACAGAATGGCTGTAGTGGTATTTTGTTATAAAACAGAATGAAGTTATAACGCTGCGTTCGAAGACGATTTCGAAGCTAATTTAAGTGATCTTACCTCGTTTCTAATTCATAGAGTTAAATTTGATCACACCATAAGCATTAGCTTACGATACGATTATGATAAGTGTCATCAAAATCGGTACACCCATTAAAAATATATGAGGATAACACATAAAAAAATACTTTCTAGCTGGGATTTTTAAATTGTTTCAAAATATTAAAGGGTTCACGTTCAAAACACTAAAGAGTTCAATTGGTAGCTGTTTAAGTAGCTACCAATATATTAAATATATAATAAGTAGTTGTTTAATTGAATGACCATTTTGACGGAGACTCACTCAAAATAAGTACATGTGAATGAAAAATTGTCTTACATAAAAATGAGACTTGATTTCCATTAAGATTTGTTTATTCAATGGTACTCACCACAACACTAAAATAGGTACATTTAGAGCTTATTCTAGGATAATAAAGTTTAAATTCATCGTAAGCGTATATGAACATTTAGTTAGAAGTTATTGTTTAGTTTTAAAGAGTAATAAAAAAGGCAGCTTTGGGTTTATAAATCATAATTTCAGTCACAATTGTTTTGTGTATTTATAAGCTTCAAATTCTTACCCTTTTTTGGAATCGCAGTTGGTTTAAGCGTCAAGTTAGCAGAAAAATATTACTCAGAAATATATCGAGTTCAAACAAAACCTAGATGTCTAGCTAGCAGACGATCTAAGATCATTATTTATAAATAATTTATTGAATTCAAGATATTTCTCAAAGATATGTGTCCGAACGAAACTAGTTTTTCCAAGGGAAACCGAAACCGAAATCGAATTTCGGCAACAGTCTCAGTTTCAGCCGAAACCGAAACTTCCTTACAAAGATCATATTTTAAGGGAAAAATAAAACATTTCATTCAGTCTTTATTTTCTTATCTGTAAATCACAAAGAAACCGAAACTCTTTTTTCTGAATCTCAACCGAAACTGAAATCGAACATTCGATTGGACACTATATTTCTGATTAATGTTGTGCATATAAATATACTATGTATCTTTATTTGTCACTATATATTTACTCATAATTTATTTACTCATACTTAAGATTATTATAGATAGCTTTTAAGTTTCCAATAAAATCGCATTATGGTTACCCTACTGTATATTTCTTTGACAAAAAATTTAAAAACGAATATCTCGTGAATAAAATGACGTTAACAAATAAATTATATACCAAAATTTAGTCACAATGTTGTACAAATTTTCAACGTATTTTGTATATAACATTATAACAAGGGGTTGTTATCTACATGCGTTTATAAGGATCACTCAATTCAGAAAATTTAAAAAGCTTTGATTGGACATAACTTTTTAACTATAAACATTTGTGGTGTGAAATTAATTTGTACAAATATATTTAAAAGTTTCTTTAAAGTAAAAAGAAAGTAAAAAGTTATCATGTATATTGTAAGCATATTACCGTATTTCTAGAATCACTCAATCTAAATGTGTCAGGATTGAGTGATTCATTGAAACTATCGTAGAATCCTGGATTTACATTGAAGTATCTTGATTTTTTTGCAAAATAATGTGATAAATCTTGAACAATTTTTTGATATAAAAACTTTATTCACAGTGTAAGTATTTCCTGAGATTGGGCTTGTAGCCATTTTCTCTAATGTCTGAATTGAGTGATCCACATATTGGGCAATATCTTCGATCGCTTAAGAGTGACAAATTTTTTGATTTCGGTTATGAGTTTTGACAAATTTTGACTAAACGTTTGTTGAAAATTGCAAAAGGATCACTCAGTCCAGATGCACATTGTTACCTTGACGTATACACGGGTGTGCTAGGTCGCGTGCATCAGGTGCCGCTGATTCCCGCCATTTTCTTTTCTCGCGATGCGTATTCTTTTGCGAGGAGTGACATTCTTACCTACAAGCGGAGGTAAAAGCTGGACTTAAGATAATTTGGTTTAATTGTTTAATGATTCTGAATGTACAGTTCTTATAACGTTGATTAAGGAACAATTGGCTAAAAAAAAAATACACGCTCGCCCATATTGTAGTAAACTCTAGAAGGGCTGACCTCAAAATTGTATATAGAAGGCATTTACTGGCAGTCTGGTCTTTCCCCAATCAATGTCGGAAGTTTTTTGAGAAATATATAGAAAAATTGTTATGCACATGTATTAACTATACTTTCGGACATTCGGTTTTTGAGATTAAAACAACCGGAGAAAAAAGATTGTTTGAAAATATTTTCTAATATAGAATGTTAAATACATAATTTAATTACAATTAATTTTATTTCAAAATACATAATTAGATTTTTGTAAATCAATTAGAAACAGGCAATTATGTAATTTATGTAAACACATTTGACAACTATCGTAACAAAATAAACATGCTGACTATTATAGTGTACACATCTATAATTGATATCGATTATAACAATAAAATATTATTGTAACCTTTCAATTTGAGAAAGTAATTTAAAAAACTAAAGTTTAGACACAATATTTTCGCATCATTTTTATTCCCAAAAACAGAGATTTAGGTGAAGGCTGATTATAAGAATAATGCTTGTTTAGAAGTTATCAATAGCCAAATCTTTTTATCGTTATGTAGTTTTGTGAACTGTGTTAATGAAGTCTTTTTGACATTACTTTGCACCTGGTTTCTTGTAAATATGCGTCTTATATATTGATACTATTTTTTATATATGTCGTCGCCCGATCGTTGTATTGGCCAGATCGTGGTATGCCCAGGCACATCGTGATACGCCGGCACTTCGTGATTTGGCCATTCTACACCGGCCATATCGTTCGACAATCATCGTTTGACGATTTGCCCAGCCAAACTAGGGAATATCATTTGTGTAGGGTGTCCAAGGTTTTGAAAAATAAAAGTAAATTTTAAAATACTATATTATTATTAATTTAATTAAATGTTACGAAATAGTATTTATTGTATTTGCACCTATATTTTAAAACTTGGAAAAGATGTGTCCGTTTATATAGACTCGCGGCGCGGGCTGGATTGATCATAGTCAACCTTACACGTTCATCTTTAAACATTATAAACTAAATATGTTTCCTTCAACAAAAGGGATTCGTTTCTGGCCAAAAACGAATCGCTTTTGCATCCATACATTTCTAGTTTCCATTTAAAATTTAAGAGTTAGGTTATTGTTATGATGAGTTAATAATTTTGCGTTACTCATTCGTGCTATAATAAAATAGCCGATTTGTTGTAATCCTGGGAGCTCACATTATTGTTTATATGAATGTTTTGTCTTGGTACCATAGCTCACGAGGCAACGCCTGCGCCGCCTTTTTCATAATGGATAAAACGAGTGTTTAAAATATGACTACTATATTACATACAAAATAACAAAATTGTTCAATGGCTCTTGAATGCACTACCTTTTTCCGAAAGCAGTCGATTTTTTCGTGGACATTTTTATTGAATTTATGTTGTTCACATTGTTTCCACTGTGCTTCTAATCTTATAAATGATCTTATATCGTAATTAATAAACTTATCGAACGTACGTAACAACGTAATTTGAGATAAAAATACCGTCGTGCTTTTAGTTTCTAATAATTAATTTTATATAACTTCGCTATTACAGACGTCCGTTACACATAAATATCCAGGTTACGCGTCCTTACATCCCCCACTTCCTATTAAATGTACTACATTTGCTCACTATTTTATAAAAACCTCAAAAGTCCAAGAGGCAGCGAATTTCAAAATAAGTACAAAGGTTTGTCCAGTGTTTACTGACCTTACATTATCGCCTTGCAGTTCCTGAACTCGTTGACGAGCATAGGACGTCGGCTGGCCGGTGTGGCGGACAAACAGTGCAGAACCGGGAAACTGCGCGCCGAACTGATGACGTTAGATTTGAACTTGCCAGCACGGGTCTGGTTACCGTTGCATCACCGGCAGCATTACGTACTCAGGATACCACCGTATGCTGCTGCAGTACTCAACAGTAAAGATAAGGTAAGGCCTCTAAACGGACAGAGCCGTATTATCAAAACGGTTTTTGGCTCACTCGGTACAGTAGGTATCTTCGAGGAACGCTACATTTAAATTGACGGTATACGATTAGGGTATTCGATTCCAGTCTTTTTTTTTTGTCCGGGATTTCATTATTGGTGAAAAGTAATCTCGGGATCCTGGGGCTATATCGGGATTTTAGAAGTTACTGATCAGACTTTTGCGATTGTAAGATTATTTCATTTTTTAACTTAATAGACACTACGGCGTATTTACTGATCGTTATTATAATGATGTTTTGTAACGTAAATATTTAATAATATTATGTAAAATAATCAACCCTCAACTTTACTATGAACATTTCACTAAAATTTTTGTATTGAAGCATATAAATAGCAAAACATAAAATGATATGTCGCTATTAATCAGTCAAAGAAATTTACAATAAAATCACGTATAAGTAATTGTTTTGATTTAAATTCGTGGTTAACAAACATTCGAAATATAATTTATTTCTACGGGTTGCACTCACCACTTTAGGATTATATTATAGTTGTAGTACCAACAGAAATAACTATGAGGAAGTTGTTTTATGTCAAATCTCAAAAATCCCGGGACTTTCCAAATGCTGTCCTTAGATTTGAATCCCGAAAAATGAATCTGTATTCGATAATCGATAGTCAATATCGATATATCGAATTCCCTAAATACGATATATCCCGCCGCTTATATTTCTTTCACTATCAGAAGTATGCTTTAGGCTTGATTTATCTTCGTATGTATAACAATCTATTTGAATTTAAATATCGAAGATAACATTGAAGAAATAAATTGAAATATGACTGAAAGTCAAATTAATTAATTCGATATTGAATGTGTAACCTAAGATCCTCGGATACGTTTATAAGCATACCAGGAAATATTAAAATAACACAAACAATTGCTACGTTCGATTGTTTCATATACTTTGAACTTATGTCATTATGATTCATAGGTATCTTTCATATTTTATAGACATGCATGTTGAACAGTAGTTAACCAATGGCGTGATACCAATTTATGAAATGAAAAGCTACACTAAATTTGATATGTGCTGAAACGGCAAGGTTACAAGCAAAGTTTTTTTTATAACGATACATATTGTAGTATCATATACATGTTTCGTGCCTAATTAAACCTTGAACAGATTTCATAGTTAACGAGATAGGTCGCCACTCGCCAGTCTAGTAACAATTCACTTTCGATATGTGTATATGTGGGTGTTATATGATAGAATAATTCAAATAGATCTAAAACTTTTCATGATGTGGATATGTTAAAATTCTTTCGAACGTCAAGACTATCTAAAAATGTTTAAGAAAATCTCACCGTCTTATTATAAGACAAGGACTAAAGTTAGAACAGTTTAGAGTTCCGTATTCAAAGGATAAAACGAGAACCAAAATATAATAAATATTTGCTCCCATACAACAAATGTGATTGTTTTTGTTGTCACCAGGCTGCGTCTCATGAATTGTGATAGACAGTTGAAATCTACACAGATAATGTATGTATTTCTGTTGCTGCTGTAATTTCCAAATATGTAGTCCTAGGGACATAAGTAGAAAAAAAAAGGTTTACAAAAGTTCTGGAATATTTCAGCATATTTTTCTATTAAGATAAATTGTCCATAATGAGGTAAACAAATCTATAAACATGAAGACTGAAATCAACTAAATCGGGATTTTCTAGGGAACTATGAATTCGATAGAATTTTAAATAAGCTCATAAAAAGGTTAATTTAAGTTTTATCAAATACCTATGAACATATGAACGAATTCGCTTTGTAGGTTTGAAAAGAAATTCATTTAAAAATAAATTTTAGTTTTACTGAGCATGATGGGAGTTTTACTCTCGCTTTGTGTTATTATGATAAATAGTGGCCCTGTCCGATTTTAGGGGTAAAAAACACTGTGCTGCGGTCCCGCCCCCATAAGGAGGGCCAGTACAAATGGGCAGGAGTATCTACTAAAACCTATTTTTTTGGTTCACACCTTGCACTACGGGTTCCTATGAAGGTTGGGGGTACGATTCAGGAACATTTGAGTCATACCGTTGTGATTTCAATGTAGCTTTGGAAATGACCTTGTAAATTGCCAGTGATATGATTTCGTAACATGAATTATGTACCTATATTTACTACAGTTATCTTATTTTGATCTTACCAACTTGTGATTATATATGTCAACATAGTTTTTAACCAACTTCAAAACACATAGGTTATATGTTAGACGGCGATGTGTTTTTTAGGTATGTTCACCGATATTTCCGCCAATTGTTGACATATTTTCAAAATCCTGTTTTTATTCGATAGCTTAACAACCGAGGTGGTCCCATTAAAATTTTATCGAGATCGTATCATTATTTTTCCTTTTATAAAAAAAAACGCTTTTCACCAAATATCACCCAAATATATTGTTGATATAGTAAGACATGGCCCTTTCCAATTCATTCAATATTTTTTATGAAATTGGATATGTTAATCGATTTCTGCTTGAATTGTGAACCAATTTCTGTCGAAACTATCCGTTTCCCTGCGACTTCGCCTTGACAAATTGTAACCAGATCCAACGCATATTAAGTAGTTTTCCATAGATCAAAGACTCCATAAAACGATCCAATAGTTTCGGAGTCTATCCTATACAAACAAACAAGCAAACAAATCTTTCCTCTTTATGAATATAGAATTATTGGAAAATTTATGACGAACAAATAAACAAAGTCTTCTTTTCTAAGACTTTCACTATGTTGTATATTTTTATTTATATAGATAATTCATATTTTTTACTGTTTCTATTTAAAAAATATTAGTATCACTTAAAAGAATGGATTAAAATCTTTAAAAAAATTATAAAGCATTTAATGAATAACCCACATAACCTCCGGAGCCTCGACCTCCGCCGAAGTCGGGTACTTAAATCGCATTTTCTTGAATAAGTAGCTTTTGAGTATAAGTATTATTTATCATTTTTTGAAAGTTTGAAACCGGTTCTATTTCTTTTTAAAGTTTTTTTTTTAATAATTTTCCAGAGATCTATTGAACATTATAGTAATGAGTTATAAAGAAGAACGTTCAATTCTGACCTGTCAACATCGAGATAAGCAATCATCGTGTATAATGAAGTAATATATCGCATTTAATAGCAATTTTTTGTTATTTATAATTATTTATTTTTTATAAACAATGTTAATGAGGAACTGGATAAAAATATTATTAAAGAAAATAAAAATTCACTGCTATTATTTTATACCAGAACGCGACCACTAGAAACAAAGCACGTGTTTTGTTACTCCCAAGTTTTAAAATTTTACAACATTCCTATTTGTATTATTTTATTTGAAGTTTTAGTTAATTGAGAAATATTTAGTTAATTATGGTTAAAGAACAAAAACATTTAAAACATGTAAGTGATCAAAACGGAATTCTTCGATGATGTTTGCCTGACAGCTGTCAAATTATTGAGCACATAGTTGTAGTTTGTTTTGTCCATTGGGATAGGCAAAGGAACTTAGCCATTCTGCCGAATCTTTTATGTTATAAAAGAGAGGCCGTCCTTAGAAAATAATCTATCTAGATAAGTAAGTGAGTTTGACTTTAACAGAAGGTATCCTTGTTTATTAGTATTAAAGTTAATGTGGACATGATGTTTTCCCACCTGGCATATAGCGAACTTATATTTTTTGCCTTGGGAAAATATCAATTCCGTCTAGCTACTTATTATGGTGAGCATGTGAATAGCTACTTTATCGAAGTTAGTAGAGAAACTATCAATGTCACAGAATACAGTCTTAGAGGAAGCGGTGAAATTACTTAGTGAGACAAAGAGCAAGTCGCGGCTGTTGGCTTACAGCAATATTATGTTATATTTTAATTGAGACTACCTGGTGATACGACGAGCTCTTGGCTTTTGTGTTTATGTTATATCTATAGTTTGGTTTTTTACGATGGGCACAACACCAAAACAACATTGTTCCACCAGCAGCATTTTAAATGATAATAGGGAAGATGTCGAATTAAAATAAATAAACTTAGTCATGAATAAGAACGAGGAGAAATATTTTTCTATGTCATGAATTAATATAGTAGTGTTAGATATCATTTATTATATATATTTTTTAAATTAACATAAGAAATTGCTGACCTCCCGCTTTTATTAATTTTTGTTTTAGCTAATATCATATTGAATTCTTATATTTTCACGCGCACTATCATAAATGAAACCTATTCGGCGTTTTGCAACATAAACTCAAAATTTTTATTTTATTATTACTCAGTTTCCTGATTGCAAAAGTAATTTATATTAATAACAATGATTTATGGACATATTTGAAACATAAATACATCATCAACATTAAAAAAATGCATTTGACACTTGTATGGAAAGTGAACATTCTTCTTTACTATTTTAATTAGTAGGTATTTATATGTTGGCACTTCAGCTATAATAGACGACCATTTCTGCAGTATCAATGCGTAGGACCGGCATGGAATGTATGCTTTAAAAGAATAAAATAAAAATACAAAGTAATGATTGAACTATTTCGCTACACAATAAAACAAGTAATTATACTGGTCGTGACGCTTATCCACTTGATTGGATTCCAACATTGCGAATGTTATAAATCGTGTTTATGTTTGTTAATTATTCACTTTAATCATTTTCTGTCATTCACCAGGAAGTGAACGTAAATCCTGTCATTGAAATAATTTGCACTTTATATTTAATTTACCTATACTATTTTAATTTCGTCGAATATATTCTTGATGAAAAATGCTTGAAAATCCACTTTTCCCTGGCACTCTGAGATGAGCCTCGAACCCATAATCTTTCGCAATCCGGGCGACTGCTCTAACGACTGAGCTACCCAGGACTGACGAATTTCGTAGAATGTATTTATGAAACAATAAAATAATGTTACGTAAGATCCAATAGAAATTTTTCGTGATACTTGAATTGATTCCTAAGTATTTCGTTTGTCCTTAAAACCGGAAGTATAGAATTTACCTACATGCGTAGTATGATATGCTCGAGTACAGCTTTGTCCTCACTAAATATTACTGTTTTGTACATCTGCACCCGAGAATAGTAGCTTGTCATTTTACGCTGTTGACAATTTACATTGATAGTCAAAGATGTCTGAACAAGAGTTTGTCCCCAGGCTCCATACATAATGTACGTGGAGGTGTTAGAGACGGACGGTCACGAGCCGTTACCGCCCCGCCTTCTACCACCCGCGCCCCCTGCGCCCCACTCCCCGCCCATACGGCATGCGAAGAGTGAGGAAAATCTGGTGCTCGAGAGACCCGCCTTCTCACTTTACTCCGCCCTCGACGATGCTGACGCTGGCGACTGCTGGAGCCACGACGATGATGATCTTAGCACGCAGTATGCGCCCCGAGCACCGGCGCCAGACAGCTTGTCGCAGGTACAGTCGGCTGATTAACTCAATGCTATTATAACCCTTGATTTGTTGCAATGTTGTTGTTGCAACAAAAGAATCGCCCAATTGAAACTGTTATAACCACTTGTGTACACTAGTTTATGCATTATACATTAATTATACATTAATTTCCACTGAAAATAGCATGAAACTATCTGTAATAATATCATTTTTCGTCCAAATTAGTAATTCTGATCAGGGTTGTTGAGAAGCATCAGCAATAATCGATGCTCATATTCAAGTCGTAACGCGTTCGTTGAGAACAAGAAATAACGCAACTCAAGTGGAGAAAGTTTAGCATTAGCTTGTTTTGTCAACCTAATTTGCTTGAGGCTGATAATGTCAATCCCGGGCCTTTTTTACAATCCTGGAATTCCGGTTCTGGGCAAGCCCGGGATACCGGGACAGTCCTGGGATTCAGTTTGTTTCTTTGTTATATTAATATATATATATATATATACACCACTTGTTATTTTCAATATACTGTTAAAAATAGACGTGTTGGCTGAGAGGTCGCCGTCGCCGCTTGCTATTTTATTGCCAAATAATTATAATTCTTATTGCAAAAAAGTATTTTTAAACGCAACTAATATAATAACACAGGTATAATATTTTACAACATAAGAACTAAAAAGCAAGAAATAAAGAAGAAAAAAACAAGATAAAACTGATCATATTTTCGTAAAGTCATCACCTCATCATAGTCCATTTCCTATATAGTATAGTCGCATTGTAAAATCTATTATTTTTTAATACTAAATCATGAAAAGAGATTAAGTCGATCTTCATTACATAATTCATTTTTTCCAACTCTATCAAATATCAAATTTCATAGACATCATATTTAGTAGTAAGAAAAAATAGACTATAGACAAATAGCTTGTGAATTAATGATATAAGGTTCAAATAAACTGTAATGGAAAATGAAAATGCTGCATGATTAATGATGTGTGAATTTGATGGTGTTATATTAATTTGATAAAAATTATTTATATTTTCGGAATGATTATATGTTGTTGTCATCTATCAAGACGATAAATCTATTAGATCACTGTATAGCTGAACTCTGATATTGGTATTCCAATTACCGTTAGCGTATTAATTAAAATTATAATTGATGCGTTATTTCGTGCATTACACCATTATTTACTTATTCTAATTGGATGACCTCACGATTACGATTAGTTTTAGCACATCTATGCACACTCTTAATCACTGCGATATTTTTTGCAAGAGATCGTTAAATACTAAAAATAGTTTATTATGTCATTGTTATTTCGTAATTTGGAAGATGTTCTTTTTGTATTCATGATAATATAAGGAAGTCGGTTCGAATAAAACTTAATTAGGATACAGCAAGTTACCAGGATAAAGTTTGTGACGCAAATTATAATTATAGCTACTACTCGTACGTCATAGTTATCATTTTAAAATTATTATTACAGTATTATGCATCTCAAAAACCATTAACAGGAACATGTTTATAAGGCTATAAAAATATATCTATAAATATTATGTATATAATCGATTAATTTTCACCTACTAAAATGAGTATATCTTGTTCAATATAATTTTTTAAGAATCATCTTCACTTCATGGTGTAATGTAGATACGGTGCATATGTTGTACCAATTATTACATTTTCTTTAGATATTGCGTGACAGCTCAGTGTGACTATACTGTAGTAGCACGTGCATTACACACGTGTTTATACTTAATCAACGTATGGTTAGGAAATAGTATATTACTCTATGCAAAGGCACTAAAGTTTATACTATAGTTATACGTAGGTAGACGTTAGTTTCTTTTTTTTATTTATTTTTAGCGAAACATAAATTTCAGGTGTTTTATGAATGTTAAATGAAATAAACTTTTTATGTACATATGAAAAATCACTGCTTTTAATTTGAAATATTTTTTCACCGTTTAAATAAAAAAGGAGAGTGTCTTATTGCTGTCGGTATAGTTTGTATGTCTAACGTAATTTATAGAAAACATTTAAGGAATTTTTTACCAATCAAATTTTAATACAAGGCATTCCCAAAGCCTGAAAGACTGTATTGCGACATCTGAATGCTCTAATCTACAGCCATCCACCTATGGAGTTGCTGTAGTTAATAATGCTTGTTGCATACTTACAACGTACTTATTTTCATCATGCAGGTGTCAGCGATATCGGCTTTGTCGACATCATCATGCGGTTCGAGGGGCGGGGGAGGGGGTGAGTCTGTGGCAGTGGGGGCGGGAGAAGTGCGACGAAGATTAGCCGACGCTACCGCGGCCCCTCCACCCAACACTTTCAGACATGACCCAGCCGATCCATCCGCTACCGCGCTAAAGGTACGTCACACTTTACTGGTGCATAATGACGTCACTAACTCCTATCGATACCCCTGCTAACTCATCCAATTCAAATTATAGTTACCGCGTAAGTTTTTGTAAATGGCTCTAAATATCTTAAGTAGGTGAGTTTCTTTCGCTCGTTTTTGTTATTAGCCAAAAGAAGTGCTGAAAGAGTGGTAGCTAAAAAAAATTTTGGACCATTCAAAAGTAAAATTATTTTTGAATCGTCCAATGTTTTTATAAGGTTATTTGAACAAATATTGTTTTAACTTTGACTTTGGCCAAAGCAAGTCACATTTTACTGACATCACTCATTCCCATTCGTCTTGAACTTTCCGCTGACATTGCGCTTAAGGTAGGTCATATTTAACGTACACTATGTAGGCGATTGGTGCGGCATCCACGATTCAGTTTAGGTTAGGTTTTTGAGCTTTAGTGTATGAAAAAGATACCAATTAGTTGATATCTTTCTATTCATTTCAGGCGCTATAAAAAAGTAAGATATTTATTTATCTTTTTATGTCAAAATACGTTTAAATGGCAATCATAAAACAATAATTTTAAATTTTGATAACGTTACCTAATCAGTGAGTCGTGTAGATAAGGGTTACGTTGTACTATTCATTTGTTTCTAACAATCTTGAACAAAACTAGCGTTATTATGCTACCAAGGGGTCTGCCATGTAACATTACATACAATTCAGCTTGGTTTTATCTTCAATCGGCTTCGATTGATCGGATCGTACTATTCGAAGTTCAAATTTAAAACAAAATTGTAGGCACAGGCACACAATCATTCAGTTGTATGAAGTTCAATGAGTAACGCGATAAATCAGTAGTAAAAGATACCCTGGAATGTTATGTTATGTTATGTTATATTCAGGGCTAAAATTGTAAATGCGTTTGTGTTATTTCAGGAGTCCTGGGAGAGTAAGTTGCGTCGCATGCGGGAATCGTCGCCGTACGGTGGTCTCAGCGGGTGGAGACTGCTTGGCTGCATTGTAAAAGTAGGCGATGATCTGCGACAGGAACTGCTAGCGGCGCAACTGCTGCGGAGGCTGCAGGCTGTGTGGGCAGCTGAACGGGTGCCGCTACATCTGCATCCGTACGAGATATTGTGTCTGGACAGGGAGTGTGGACTTATACAGCCGGTGAGGAACGCATAACATAATAAAAAGTACCCCCACACATATTTTCAGTTTGAATGTGATAAATCTAAATAGTACTGAATATGTTTTCATACAGCTTAGCAATTGATGTATAGGGGATATTACCCAAAGTTCACCATAGATGGCAGCATTAGCACATTTAGTAAACGAACAATTTTTATCGATCATTTTGTCTTTTCTAAATGAATAGCAATAATGTATGATAAAGTAAAATCAACTATTTTTTTTATCATTTTTTTTAAATCTATAATAAGGAATAGTTCCATATGCTTGAAAAAGAGAAGTATATTTAAACCGTTATATTTAAAAAAAGTTTTTTCATAGTGATGTACATTTAGTAAACGAACAATTTTTATCGATCATTTTGTCTTTTCTAAATGAATAGCAATAATGTATGATAAAGTAAAATCAACTATTTTTTTTATCATTTTTTTTAAATCTATAATAAGGAATAGTTCCATATGCTTGAAAAAGAGAAGTATATTTAAACCGTTATATTTAAAAAAAGTTTTTTCATAGTGATGTACAGTTTTATTGACTACCAATAGTTACTATTGAATTTTGAATGGGTTTGCTTACCAATGACATTACACTTTTACATTATTTTTCTTCAAAACACTCCTACAGAACAACTCGGCACTGTTTAATTCGCCATTAATATTTTAATTGATAATTGTAGAAAGATCTGGTTATCAACCAAAATGGCGTTTCGCTACTGGTGGCTTGCTGCGTTTCAAGACGTTCGGAAGCTATTAAAAAAAATTATATTGTAAAAGTATAAAGGTTATCTCTCTTTGTCCATGAAATTTTGTCATTTGAATAGTAGAGTAAGATATAGGAGAATTGTTCAACTATAATGTAATCTTATCTATATCTATATATATAAAAATGAATCGCAAAATGTGTTGGTAAGCGCATAACTCAACAACGCCTCGACCAATTTGGCCAAATCTTTTTTTAAAATGTTCGTTGAAGTTCAAGAATGGTTTTTACGGCGAGAAAAATTAGAATTATTGCTGGAAAAACCCTAAAAATAGCCCTTTTCTTTTTCCCATACAAATGATTTGTAACTAAAACGTAGTCAATTTGAGCTTTATTGTTATGGTATAAAGTTCATATTAAATTACAAGCACTCACTGTTGTCTAAGCAATGTAGGTGTGTTCCTAACGTCAAAGATCATATCTATCAAAACAATGTGCGTGTGTGCGTTGGAGCACAGAATACATAGTTGGAGGAGTTTAATGTCGCGTTCCGAAACTCGCGTTTCTTTTGTATTAGTTTCGGCACGCGAGATAAAATGCATCAGTTTCCACGTCATTACATGTATTGCCGGAACATTGATGAAAATACGCTCTGTAATAGCAAAGCTGTTGGGTCCTAGATAGCTCATTGGTTAGAGCAGTCCCTGGATCGCGAATGGGTTCGAGTCCCATTCCGGGGTACAGGTAGATGGATTCTTCCAGCATTTTTCCTTGAGAATGTTTATATATTTTTTTAATTCGAATAGTTTACTTTTATAATGCTGTTGTGTGTAATGTGTTTTTATGATCATAAAAATCTCTTTTTTCTATATTTAATACTATTACTATTAATACATTGCAATAATAATTATGATTCACATGATTAACAATAAAGCGATTACTTACTTTTAAATCCTTATATATGTTTTATTTAATTATTTTTTATTCACAACGCCCTATCACCAGGGTGACGGTTCTGTTCAGGAGAATTTTTTTAAATACGTAGGCAAAAAAACTGCCACATTACAAATCTTTTTGACAGGACGAAGTCTGTCGGGTCAGCTAGTAAATAATAAATATATGATTAACATGCGTTAGTGCTGCAATTTGATGACAAAAACTTGCAATAATATGTCCTATAAATTCATCGCATATTAATTATAGTTAAGATTTTGATTATACACTCTGGCAAAGCATCGAAACCGAAAAATACTGAAACGCACGTATTCGCATTTTTTTTACAACTCTACTTGAATTTGTTTTCAAACGGAGCCAATTTTTCGTCTTCTTCTGATCGTATCCAAGTGAAGATTCCAAACCAAGTAACTGTTCTGGTAATCTGAAACAACGATGGTACACAATACCTCGTAGGCCCGTTAGCAGACAACTATTTCGTTTGTTTCAGGTCGTGAATTCTGTATCACTGCATCAGATCAAGAAGCAGTCTGGTAAAAGTCTGCGCGCGTGGTTAGAATTGGAACATGGTCCGCCAAATAGTGAGGGATTCCTGCGCGCCCAAGACAAGTTCGTTCGTTCCGCTGCAGCGTACGCACTCACTAGCTATCTGCTGCAACTCAAAGACAGGTATACATCATACATACCTGGAAATTATCTGCTGCACCTTATAGATACTGTTTTTTTCACCATTTTCCTATAATCACTACATAACTAATATCAAGTTTTAATATTGATACTACTTACTCACGGACCTTTGCTTACATTAGAAAGAAAAGAGGCAAATATCGTGATCTGGCTACTTAGATAGTGTTCCTAAATAAATCTTACTGCTATGAAACTGTAGTTTATTTTGCCAAATTCGAATGCGTAATTGGATGGTAGATATGATATTAGTTTAATTTCTTTTTGACCTACTGCATTTAAAAGAGAAGGGGCGAATATCAAACAAATACGTTTTGAGTTTTAAAAAACGATAACTCAGTCTGATCTGTTGTAAATAAACCGTGTCTACCCCGGCACGTTTCTATCTGGCTTGCAGTTATTAATGGACCTTAAAACTATATAATGTAACAGATAAGGGTAGTTAGTTGACGCTTTTTCGATCAACGAAACGAGACTGTTTATTGTTCACCATAAACTAGTTGTAAAAACTTTTTTCGACTAGTTTATGTCGTAGACGGAGTGAACGTAACAAAAAGTGTATTGGATTAAGTAGTGTAGTTGTCGTAGTTCATGAAACTGGTTTCAGATAAACCTCGTCGTCGACTCGACAATGGTTCAGTAAATTTGTGGATGGTGAAAATGAACTTTCAGTCATTTCCTTTATACACTAAATTAATCAAACTGACGATAACATAGTCGAATAAAATTAAAAAGCAGGATGCTAATTGCATAATATCCTTACCTTGACCTACGCCGTCCACATTAGAATCAAAGACATGATTGATTGACTGACAGAATTTTAATTACAAAGTTCAAATGTGTATTTATCATAGAAAAGTAATGTACTAGCAACTGTATACCCTTACGTAAAATTTTATTTTAAAAATATTTTTAATGTAATCGAGCGATCGAGACAGGCAGCATACTATCGTTCGCGAAGAACAGAGAGTAAATACACGAATTCACTCGTCTCGCAGACCGTTCGTGTCCCTTTGGACTGTTCAAGCAAAGCTTGTTAACTTACGTTCACGCATAAACCAGTTTATCAGTAGATCGTAAACTAGTTTATCAGTTAATACCCAATAAGCAGACTAAAAAAAAGGTTCGTTCATTCAACGCTTAAGCCGAATGGTTACCATTCGATTATGGAGAAAAGCTTTGTAAAATTTTGTTGAGAACTTGGTATCTATTAATTATCTAGTGTTATGAATTCACTGATGAAAATAACTAAATAAACAACTTTTTTTCCAGACACAATGGAAACATTTTGTTGGACAGCGAGGGTCACATCGTCCACATCGACTTTGGATTTATATTTTCGATATCACCTAAAAATCTGGGTTTCGAAAGCTCACCGTTCAAGGTAAAAACATGACCAATACTTTTATGAACTTTTTAATCACTCTTTTGTTTAAATATTATATGACTATGATGTTTGCTAAATAACAATGATGTATATTTTTAAATCAGTAAATAAAAATATATTTTTTTATATTTATAGTCTGTGTTTCATGTCAGACAAAACTTCAATCAGAGCGTGTGACGTCATTTGTGGGTAAATTGGTGGCAATAGATAGTTTTACTACCAATTCCAATAATTTATAATTATTTCAAAAAATTAAAACCAGTTTTCCCTATTCTGTTATGTATGACATTTAACTTAACTAGTAGCTTATTTTTATGTTCAGAGCCGTACGATTCTTGTCGCAATGCAATGCTTCTTTTGGTCCTAGGGTATTAAAATACGCTTCTGTATTCATTACAGTTTTTTTTGTCTGTGAAGTAGTGATCTGTTAAAGTATAAACGAGTATGTGTTATATAACTAATAGTTAACGCGCGAGTTCGTGGAAGTGATGGACGGCGAGTCGTCGGACATGTTCCAGTATTTCAAGATCCTGATCCTACGAGGTCTGATCGCTGCCCGCAAGCACTGCGAACAGATCATACACATTGTGGAACTAATGCAAACAGGTCTGTTATAATTTATTAATGGGTGTTGAGCATAAGTTTTCGATTTGATACTCTTTAACTAGATCCTTTTATCTATTGCATAAAAAATGGTGCACATTTGTTATAAGTGCTAATATTGTATTAAATGTAAGTTTGATACAGCCGGGTTACTAAAATTCATCATTAACATTTCCTGTTTTTGGTTATTGGTATTAAAGATAAAAGCATCTTTAATTTGTTGACCGTCCTTCTAGTTATCGAGTACTATTTCAATTTGTAATTATTTTAAAGTATAATAAAAAAATATCAAGATGCAAGCCTTTTAAAATACTTGTGTTGATATTTTCATATCGTAGTGTGGTGAAGGGATTATTATGCAAAGTTTTGTTTACATATTCACTTGGGTCGATAAGTGTGGACTCTATGATGTTCAATTGATCGTTTGATCTGCAGGTGGTCAACTAGCGTGTCTACGCAGCAGTGGCGCAGTGTCAGCGTTCCGAGCGCGATTCCATCCGAACAGAACCGAACCTCAGCTGAGAGCGTTAGTTGATTCACTCGTACATTCAGCGTTACACTCGCTCTCAACACGCCTCTACGACAACTACCAGTATTATACCAACGGCATTCTGTGACTCTTCCACCTCTGTAATTCACTGGTATACTCCGCAATATCACCGTTAGTACACCGACGCAATCGCATGCGAATACGAAACATTTTCGTAATCTTGTCAGTTGAATGGCAATGTTTCTTATCAAATAACTGCGTCCTTATCAGTACGGTTTCGCAGTCATTTGAGAAAAAGGTCGTTACACAGACGCACATGTTTTGCTTTTAGGGTTGTCACTTGTCCCGATTTCTGAAGACTATCCGAATTTCGTTTCTCTAAAGGTGACAACCCTGTTCGCATTCGGTGTAATAACGGCGCAACAATCTCTCAATACGCCCCTACAACTATCGCCAGTTCACCGTCAGCATCCTGTCAGTTCACTGATCTATTTATTATCTAAAAATAATATTACTATAAACATAAATTATAAATTTTAAAGAAAATATAAGTTTTTCGTATCCATCCCAAAATTAAATTATTTTTTTCGTTCGTATAAGGAGTTATATTTTAAAAGAAAATATAACGTCACTTTGCGAATTTGTACAGTGTATGCTCCTGTACGATGTCTATGAGCGATAAACGAATTAGTCATTTAATTTTTTTTATATTAATCTTGGTTTAGGCAAGTCTCATCAGTTTTCATTGATTAATTTTCGTTCTTCATAAAATTGATTTTGTTACAATAAAGTATAAAATGAAAGTCTCTTGACTTTAAAGGCAGCTGCTAATGCTAAAACTGTTTGTGTATAATTAATGACATCACAACTAAAATAAGATCATACATAGAATTTAAAAGCATTAATTATATTATAAAAAATGTATTATTTTAGATATCTTGTTAAAATATACAAAATTAGATGAATCGATATTTGCGCCATTATCGTTCAACTTCCGCATTGTGTGTGTTTGTATAATTTTAATCATCGAGTGCCATATTCCGTTTGCTGTACGTTACAAATAAAACAGTTTATTTGCTCAATCAAAAATTATATTGGAATCATGTTCTGACCCGTCCATTGTAGTTATTTTCTTTGTGTTGTGTAAATTCATTGACATGTTGAAAATTCATCTCTTATGTGCGCGTAGTTATATGAAATTGTTATAAAATCTGATATGTAAATACTAAAAACGTATGATAATTTTCGCAAAGAGAAGACTGATTGTTCAGGCATGAAAAATGTGGTCTAGATTTAAGTTTCTTATCTTCGTAATTTTAAGTTGTACACCAGTTTAATAAAATTTATTATGTAATTATTGTATTCTCTGATCCACTGTTTAGATATGTGTGCTTAGGAGAGGATGCCAAATTTTAGATTATGGCATTATTTTAAAGATGTGAGATTTGTTAAATATCGGCTAGTTAGGTATTCAAACACCAAATAAAATTAGATAAGATAAAGTTTGAACAATAGATAGTAATGAATCTATGTATGGGAGGTGTTATTTGGATGTTTGTGTTGCGAGGAGGGCGGAGAATCGTTAGAGGAAAGATGTCACTAGATAGGAACATTTAACAGTGTGATTAATATGGAACCAAAGAGTTCCAAATGTTAAACTACAACTTTGAAATACTATTGGATATTCCTTGTATGTGTAATGCTACCTGGTTATTATATGAATATATTCGCTTAGAATAGATGGAGTGAGAAGTTTGTTGCCAAATTTTAAATGGTAATAACTAAAATAAAATATGGGAGACAGATTGATATTTTTCGAGTCACTCGAGTTATTCTGTTTTATGATGCTGTATTAATATGTTAAGAACAAAATTCCTGTGTGATGTTTACAGGACAATCTAGATAAATGGTTTTGTAATACATCCCAAGGGCATGTTCATTAATATATGCTAGGCAGATTGTTTTATTTTTCGATTCATTCAAGTTACTCCAATTAATGATACTGTAATAATAATAGTGCGTTAGGATCAAAATTCTTATATGATATTGCAGAAAAGTATAGTTATTTTTTTTTGTAATATGTCTCAAGCTCGTACTAAATGATAATTTTAAATTATTGAAATTAATTTGTAATAAATTGTTTTGAATTATGATAATTATAATTGGATGACATTAGCTGTGAATTTTTCTTATGCTTAATTTTATGTTAAACGTCACTAAATTTTGACGTTCATTACATTTTCTTTCGACATTGCTATTATTATAACGTCGCCGTGTAAATGATAATTGTGAATCATTATTAAAATATATCTAGATAGGATATATTATTGAAGTACCTTTATAAAGCATATTCTAATGGGTATTTATGATCGAGTATTGTTTGCTAGTTAGAAGTTGAATATGTAAATACATAAATGTTTTTGCTTAATATATCGCTTATTCTATATTTAAAGTATATATTACAACATCCGAAGTTTTAATATTGAATATAATTTTCCTCAAATAAATAAATTATTTATCATCATGTACAGGTAATTGTAAGTAGGTACTGTAATGTTTATCTTAATTTTTTAAATATACATATATCATGATTTTTCACTCCTACTTTTATTTAATTCCTCATCACCAAGTGATCGGAGCCTTCGGCTTCGTTCCACGTGGCATGCTATCCGACCACACACGACAGAACTGTCTCCCGAGCGCTAATAAGTAGAATGGAAAACCAATGAATCCGTTTACATCAGCTATAAAAATTCCGAAAATTATTCGTTCTTACGAGGCGGAGCGCACGTGGAAGTCACAACAGAGTGAAAGAGATTATCAGAAAAGATATCACTAGCTGATTTGGTTTAGTCAAATTGATTATAAATTGTGCACCATGACTCAAGAGTTCTATGAGACATAAAACTGCATATTATGGTTTAAAATTTAACTTTTAGTTGCAGTAGTAAATCTTTATGAAGTTGAATTTCAATGCATTTTGTGCCTATTATTATTTTATATAGAAATCTTAATTCGAAATTGTTGTCTTTTTAATGGATTTCAAACAAAAAGGTGGTTTATCTTATCATATTGGACCGCGATGAAGACATGTCCACGACCGTAACCGTTGAGCTGCCCGAGATATATCGAGCTAGACTCAATTTTTTTTCGTACTCTAATTCTTCGATTAATTGTGATAACCAAAAGGAACTGGGGCGAAATATAAAATTAGCTCCACCAGAATCGCGATCGATCGCATAAAAAGAAAACATGATTATACAACTTTTTATTGCACACTATTTCTTTTTCTTTTTCTTGGATTTCATTTTGTGTTTTAGTTTTTGTTTGATCTTCTCCTTCCTCAGACGTTCCTTTACTATTTGCTGTTTGTTCCTGAATTCTTTTGATGATGCCTCTGCTTTATCCTTGGCAATGCGTTCGTTGTGTTTCACCCAATGTGGACGGAATTCTGACACTGAAATATATGTAGAATTAGTATGACATAATGGGCCTATGGTCAAAGAGTAGGTTATTGCCAATGAGTGTTATTTTATCTAACAATTCTGTAGATAAAATGATTGTTAGTGGAAGGTAACACGGTAAAGCGATGATAAAATATTGCATTGGATATTTTTCATGAAAAAAAAAAATAATAAGAAAATATATTTATTACTAAACAGTCCTAGAGTTCGACGCCATATTATAGCAGCGTCACACTCTTGGATTTGATATTAATTCTTCGTAATAATATGTCGATTATTTTTCATTCATTCAAAAATCAACTTTATTTGTAACTTATAAAAACAATTTTTTAAGCAACCAGTAAACAAAGAGAGCTAGAACTAGGGTTTATGGATTTTTTTTAGTAAAGCATAACGTTGCAATAGTGATCAAACTCTATTGTAGTAGCATTTACGGCAGCAAACTTTGCAAGATATCGAAATACCATCAAAAAGTACATAAAGTTTCCGTAATTTGCCGTATATCATAATGTTACAGGTTTCACTCACCGTGTTTGTTGTGGTTATTGTGTTGTTGTTCCGTGTCTGTCTGTTCGTATTGCGCGTTCCGCTTGCGCCATTCATCGTACCGCCCGCTACGGAATGAGGCTGGCACACGCGCCCCACTCTCGGTCCTGATCATCTTGCGACCACCGTCCTGATAAAATATATAATAGGGATAATGGTTGGGTTAAAAAAGAAATTCCATTTAGTCCGCCGATCAGATAATAGAAAAATATTAAATGGGTATTTTTTTTTGCCTCAATCGAACAAGAAATGGCTATTATCTAAATAACAATTAAAGTTGAGGGGTGGGGGCTCGTAGTCAGATTTGTAGAAAATGTACAAAAGCGTGATGTCATGCGATGTTTCAACTTTATACTCTATTGCCGAAATTTATTAATTACGCAAAAAATGAAAAAAAAACGCGTTTAATAATTTCCAATAATGTACCTGACGGATAAATAAACAAAAATTTGTCGATCTCTATTATTAAAATTTTTTATATGCATGGGAAAATGAAATCTATATTTTCGCAATTGTCGATCATATGATGGGTGATTAAATATTTATTATGTCGAATTCCTCTCCGCTTCGGGAGGCACTTTAAGCCGTTGGCCCTGACTGCATCTGTAGTCGTTAATACCCACCAATACGCACTGGTCCGTGTGGTGGGTTATGGTCCATTGTCTCTATTCGATTCCATAATTACTTTTTTGTTTTAATTTATATTTGGGATAATAACAACTTCTTATAATAAATGTGAATAATACATAAAATTGCTACATCTAGATCAATTACAATTATCCACAAAAAGAAAACATCTAGAATGTGAACTTAAACAGTTATATATGTGGTTGCAAAAATTAAATAAAAAAAAATGGTGGGTACTTAAACATAACTACAAGGAAGGCCTGAGCCACTCAGCCGGGGGGGGGGGGGGACTCCAATAGGTATGATGACTGGGTAAAAAAAATGCAATTCTATTTAGTCCGTCAGTCAGATAATAGAAAAAAATTAGATACGTATTTTTTTTTACTTCAAATTAACAAGAAATAGCTTAGATAACAGGCATTAAAGTTGAGGAGTGGGGGTACGTCACAGTTGAGTAGAAAACGTACTCTAAAGTGACGTCATGCGAAATTTCAACTCAATGTAACGCCGTAATTTTTTGATTACAAAAAAATAAAAAAATACGTGTTAAATATTTTTTAACACTCTACCTGACGGACAAACAAACAAAAATTTGTCATCATCCCTATTATATTAAATTTCGTGTGACTTTTTTTTTTTATAAACACTCACCGGGTCCGTGTGGACCATTTTCTTCCGTACTCTGTCCCAGCGCGCACGCGTGGCGGCCGCGCGCGCCTCCGTCCAACAGTCCGCGTTCAACTCTAGTTCCGCCGAGGACGCGCCCGTGCTCAAGTTCACTGCCATCCTATACGATGACCATGTGAATCACCATAATAATCTAACAGATGTCGCCACAGTGACAAGAAAATACACAATGGCGGCTCGTGTTATAATCAAGTCACGTGACGCGCAGACTAAAAATTTCGACCTTTTAATATAATATGATAATTGTTAGAATTGAAGACTCAAAAACAGGTTCTCTATGTTTATTTACCTGTAAAATTTAGTTTATGTGCAATTGTGTAACTTATTTTTCAGTACCGAAACTACCCTATTAGTATTTTTGTATTATAACGGTTTTCAAAAAAGCGACTTTATTCCATAATATTTCATAGCATTTATGTTACGTTTTTAGAATAAATCATTGATAAAACTTGGGCCTATTAGGAGTTTACAACGTTATTATAACCACAGCCACTTACTTCTGAAATTATTACAACTACACAGTTGTTACTTGGTAGTAAGAAATATTCTATGAAAAGCTTTCAGATTTTCTTACAAAAATTAAAAATTTTGGCTAAAAAGGCTATACAATTCTTTCTGCAGTTGATTTTGAAGTCTACCCTCAACCACACTAAAGTTTAAATTTGAGTGGACAATTTTGATAGTTTTGCATAACTCGACATGCAGTTGTACATGAATCTGCTTGGCTGTGCCTTTAATTCCAAACGGTAAGTTTACTTACCCGGTTTCAGTGTGTTGGTCGCTGGCCTCGTGAGGAATATAATTCTCGTCACGAACAATATTTCTCTTCTTTTTCTTCGACGTACCGTCTAAATGCATGTCCAATAGTTTTCCTTCAGCCTGAAAAACATGAGTGATACCTAAAGTCAAAGTAATCAAATCCGATACAGATAAAAAGTGACAAAATCTGATACAGATCATAAGTGATTAAATCTGATACAGATAAAATGTGACAAAATCTGATATAGATAAAAAGTGACAAAATCTAATACAGATCATAAGTGATTAAATCTGATACAGATAAAAAGTGACAAAATCTGATACATATTAAAAGTGACATCAATTCACCTGGAGCTTCTTCATGTCTCTTATTTTCTGTACAGTTTTGCCGTGAGCTTGTTTTTTCGCTTTCATCGCCAAATACATGGGTGAATCATTCTTAGCTGCAAGTTCCAATATTGTCTGAAACAAAATTTTATTAAAGTTACTTCAGTTTAGGCGTGAAAATGTAACACACACACATTAATACACGCACGCACACGCATACACACGCACACTTATCAAAATAACAATATTAATTGGTTACATTGGTTACATTACATGTACATTGGTTACATTTTATCTGTATCATAATCTTACATTGTCACTAACATTAGAGTACCAACTCTAATGTTAGTGACAATGTAAGATTAGTATTTATAAATAATAGAGATGCGCCGAACAGTGGTTTTATAATATAAAATAAATCTAACATAAGATGCAAGTAACAATAGTAAAAAAGATGCCGAATACGCGAATACCGAATAACAAACGAACAGTCGGCGCATCTCTAACTTATAAACATACCCCTTTAGGCTTGTAGTTCTTGATTTGTTCGACGAGTGCGTCCGAGTTCTGCGTAGTATGATCGTGCAGGTAGGGGTGTAGTTGAATGGGCGGTGTGATAGTCTTTGCCCGCTTGTTGGCCTCAGCTGATGCTGGCTCTCGGTACTTGAGGTACTGTTGCCATGCGCGGGAACATGTTCGAGCTGCTTCCTCCTACAAGAGTTTTTAAAGAAAATCAGGCAAAATTAAAACTTGCTTACTAGGCTAATTTCTTACTGCCTTAATACGGATGTAGACAGTAAACAAAATAAAATAAATACATTTTTTTTCTGGTAATGTTTTATATACTATTACCGTTATTCACACTTTTATGCTTTTTCCTAAATATAAAAAGTAAAAGATTAATATTGCTTAATTATGAAAAAACAAATACACGTTCTCATGTGAACGCAAACAGCGCGTGACGTCACGCCCCTCTTACTCATATCAGAACTCGGAGAATTAAACCATGCATACATAGAACGATATTAGTTTACAGGGGCGTGACGTCTTAGCGACGCCATGACAGAAGTTGGGGTTTTCACTGGAAATTTAAACAATCAAATTTATTTTTCGATTTAAAATTATTCTAGGAATGATTCTATTTGTTTTTCGGAATAAAATATAGCACCGCATATGATGTACATAAGGTGAAAGAATTTTTATAATCTGTCCGGTAGTTTCGGAGAGATCGTTTCAAACAATCAAATCTTTTCTCTTTATAATATTAGTATGGATATAAATAGTGTTGTGTGCGGGTAGTAGTAAACTCACAATATCAGCTCTGTCTCTCTCCCATGCGGTGACGTCCTGATGCCTCAGTTCTATGGCAGCGGATGATAATGCGCCCCATACACCGCTTATACAACGCTCGCCACCTTCGCTCACCTAATGACAAAATTCATATCGTTATGACGATGTTTTTTATTATGTTGAATGCACACGTCATGTTAGGTTACCGCATTATATCAAATATTTGCAGTTAATTTTAAATCTAACCCAATGCATTAAGGACTTTTTTATTGTAGCAAGAGAAAGCATATTAAATGTTCCTGATGGAAAGTGTTTTACCAGTCCAATAACTCTAATAGCTGGAAGAAGTCTAATGTCTGTTTTCACTAAACTTAGGAATGGCCCAAGTCGGTAGCCTAAATATTTAGGTATCGCCTAAGGTAAAAAATGCATTTCACCATTGACTAGGATTAAGCACCTAATGAAATTAAGCAATGTCAAAGTTATGATATTCGTTATGCGACGCCGTGCGCTAGGTATTTGCGTATGTATGTGGTCATAAAGATGTCAAGAGATATAGGAAAACAATATTAATTTGGAATTAAAGTAATCTGCTTAGGCGATTCCTAATATTAAGCGTTTCCTAGTTAAGCTATGCCTTGTTATAGGTTATGGGCGTCAGATACTCCTAGGGTGCAATTGCCTAACTCTTGTATCTTGTATCTGTTGAGAGAAGTAACATAACTTTTAGTGAATTGTTTTAAACAATAGACGAGAACTTGAATGGATGAAGAACCATATACAGTTCTCGTAAATTATGATATATTCTCAAGTAATTATTTCTCTCGACTATAGATACGACTGTTAGAGATGTTATGGTAACATTTCGTTATTGTACTTTAATAATCCATGATCATCATTATAAACAAATAATGATGATCATGGATTTGAAAGCGGGGCTACTATATTGGTAATTTAAAAACCAAAAGAAAATTGAGCTATTTTAATATTTCTTTATAGTAAGCAAGCGACATGAATATGAGATGTTTATTTATTGTTGTATGTGTATATGTGGGTGGTATTTATATGCACCTGTGCGGGAAGTATGAGATCGGTGCCTAGGAACAGCTGCAGGTCAAGCAGATGTGGCAGATCATCAGCAGCTACTAGGGACCATGCACGTCCCGCTCGTCCCGCACGCGCACTACGACCTATAAAATACTAATTATATAGGGTCCATAGATACAATAAGTAGATGCTATACAACACACATCTAATATCATAGTCAAAATTTCCTCTCTATGATGAAACATCTTAAGTATCATATTGAATATGCAGAGAGAATAATTGATCTAGTGCGATTTCGCGGATGTTAACATCTACAAATGCATTGGGAACAACGGTACTGTTGTTTCCAATTGTTGTAACCTGCCTTCCAAAGCATTTAGTAGCTTGATATATCTTGGTCTTTATTAAATTCCCATATCACAGTCTAAACTACTATGCCATCAAGCTCATATAATGCATTAATACAATGTACTTAAATATATTTTGATCTTGTAGTTATTAACATGGTAATTGTTACGGACGGCGGACATGAAGACCCTTCCCCGCAACCTCACCCCCGCAACGAGTGGAGGGGGCACACCACGGGCAGCAGCGACGGGAGCACCCCCCCGCGACCTCCCCGCCGCATAGTGGAAGGGGCACCGACATAACATGAATCTATTAGGTCAATTAACGCGTTAGGATAGTAGCTAAGTGCGAACGAACAAATCCCACTTAAGTAAACCCGATTTGTATGAAAGCATGCCTACGAACGTTTTCGTACTTTGTACTGCAAATAAGAAGAAAGAATAAACGCCTTCAAATCTCCAAACTGTTGTTTCCATCCCCAACAGTTTTCGCTGGTCCTTCAAGAGCCGGATAAGGAGTTCGCTGATTCTTCAGAAGCCGGATAGGAAGATCGCCGAGCTACAGTTTGCTCGTCCGAAGCCGGAAAGAAGAAAGCGTGTTCTACGAGCGTCGAAGCACTGCAAGATCGGTACAGTGTACGTCTGGACGAGAGCACGTCAGGTACAGTGTACGTCGGTACAGTGTACGTCGGTACAGAGTACGTCAGGTACAGAGTACGTCGGGTACAGAGCACGTCAGGTACAGAGCACGTCAGGTACAGAGTACGTCGGTACAGAGTACGTCGGGACAAAGTTACGTCTCAAGATACAGCAAGATGCCGCGAACAAGAAGCACCACTAAGGACGACCGCGCCACCGACGCGTTACTGGAGCAAGCACGCCGTGGATTATATGAGCTGCCACCCGCTTCACCCTCTGTGGTCGATGGAACAACGACCGCTGAACGCGAGAGGGGTCCTATTCCCGTCGGAACCAGGGAAGAAAAGGACTTTGAACAAGGGGCCACGGCACCAATCACAGAGAAGCAGCGTACTCCTACGCGTCCGGCATCGGTTCGATCTTCGGCTAGCACTGCGGCACGAATTTTGAAAGCCGAATACGAAGCCGAAAAACGGCTGTCGGAAATGAAGATCCGTATGGAGACGGAACTTATGAAGAAGAAGCTGGCATGGGAAAAAGCAGTTATACAAGAGTCGGACAACGAGAGTATCGCCGACGATACGAACGTCGAGGAACGCATCGACACATGGCTAAACCAAAGCTCTTCCATCGCGCAACACACGGAGCAAGATTCAGCGCCACAACTGGAACGAGAAGCAACGAGAACAACGCCACACCGCGTGTCACGACGCGCTCCCTACATCAATGCAGGGGGGGAGCCCGAAGCGCACGCTGCAGAACCACAGCCACAACGACGACGATCGCCGTCAAGACAGCAACGGGGCATGGAAAAGCTGGCAGACGTGCTAGAGAAAATGATGCACGTCAGATCGCCGCCGAGACAAGCAACCGAACTACCCCTATTCAGCGGATCACCGATGGAGTGGCTACCGTTCAAGGCCGCTTTGAACGAATCCACGCAGCTGTACAAATTTACGCCGATGGAAAACCTGGCGCGACTTCGAAACTGCCTGAGGGGGGAAGCTAGAGAAACAGTATCGGCGCTGCTAGCAACCACTACGGACCCGGCTGAGATCGTACAAGTTTTAGAGCAGTGTTATGGACGACCAGAAAGCATCATCTGCCACGTGCTCGAGCAGATAAGAAGATTACCGAAGCTCGGAACCACCGCCGCCGAATGGAACGCGTTAGCGGTTAAAGTTCAAAACATCGTCTGCGTTATGAAGCAAATTGACAAGAAAGGATACCTCTCAAACCCAATGCTGGTGCAAGAAATAGTAGCGAAGCTCAACCCATGCGTCACTTCAAAATGGTGGGACTACGCAGAGGACCACGGATCGGATCAAGAACCAGAGATAGTAACGTTATCGAAGTTTCTCACGCGCGAAGCAAATAGAGCATTCCGACATGCACACATGTCAACGCCCAGCACGATTACGAAAAAAGAAGATAAGAAACCTTTCAACACGGGAGCAACGCGACGAGCGGCAACGCACAACATCACACAAGCAACCGAGCGTCGCTACTGCTGCTGTTGCCGGGGCGATCATGAGCTACCCAAGTGCCCGCAGTTCATCAAGATGAACACGGACGACCGATGGGCGCTTGTCAAAAAGGAGAAAATATGCTTCAAGTGCATAGCCACGCGCCACCGACGAACATCGTGCAGAGCAAAGCTGTGCGGCCAGAACGAGTGTCGCCGACCCCATCATAGACTGCTGCACGCGGAGGCCGCACCTGCACCCGCATCGACGTCCGCCGACACCACCGAGGAGTGTCACGAAAAGAAGACTGACGTCGAGACCGTCGCCACCACAGTCGGCTCCGAGAAAAAGAAAGAAGTCCTACTGAAGGTGTGCCCGGTCGTCATCAAGGGACCGGCCGGCGAAGTACGAACCTACGCGTTACTGGACGAAGGCTCGACGGTTTCGCTAATAGACAGAAGATTAGCGGAGGAACTTCGCGCCGACGGCCCCACGCAGACCATCCACCTGCACAGCATACAGAACGTCATAAGGGATGAAGAAAGCAAACGAGTGAAACTTCAAATACGGGGCACTAACACGAACTTCTTCGACTTAGAAGCCAGAACGATCGACCGAATCGGTATAAGAGGACAATCGATTCCAGAGGCCGTCCTGAAGCACCCGCATCTACGTAAGCTGAGCGCCGAAGAGGTGTGCTACGATCGAGCACGACCACGAATCCTCATCGGCGCGGACCACTGGCACCTCGTGATTTCCCGGGAGCTACGCGCCGGACGAAGATCGCAGCCCGTCGCGTCAAGAACAAGCCTAGGTTGGGTGATACTGGGAAACCTGCCTCGAGCCACGACCAAGGAAAATCACAAGATAGTGTCACATCTGAGAATCACAGAAGATGCGCCGCTTCGCCCGTGCACTAACGACGTCGACGAAGAACGCCTCGACGAAATTATAAAAAGTCACTATGACATCGACGCGCTTGGAGTATCGACGAAAAATCGAACAAAGCCCGACGACGAACGCGCCGCGGCTATAGTAACGAAGACAATGCGCCGCACGAATAAAAGATACGAGGTGGGGTTACCATGGCGTACGGACGACGTGACGATGCCGCCCAGCTATGACAACGCTCTGAAACGACTGAAAGGCATAGAGAGAAAAATGGATCGCGACCCGTCCTTCGCCGCGGCTTACAGAGCGCAAGTCGAAAACCTCTTCGAAAAAGGATACGCGGAGCAATGCGACGGCACCGAACAAGCGAGCCCGAAGAGCTGGTACCTACCGCATTTTGCGGTGAAGAATCCCAACAAGCCTGGCAAGCTACGCCTCGTCTTCGACGCAGCCGCCGTTACGAACGATGCCAGCCTTAATCAAGAACTACTAGAGGGTCCAGACCTATTAACGTCGCTGCAAGGAATACTCTTCCGATTCCGAGAAAAACCGATCGCCGTAACCGCCGACATTCAAGAGATGTTCTTGCAGATTAAAATCAGAAAAGAGGATCAGCCCGCTCAAATGTTTCTGTGGCGAGGAACGGAACGAACAAAACCGCCCCAGAAATACAAGATGACGTCATTGATTTTCGGCGCGGCAAGCTCGCCTTTCATCGCACATAGCGTAAGAAACGCTAACGCCGAAGCCTACGCCGACTCGCATCCGGAAGCACTACAATCAATAACACGTAGTCACTACATGGACGATTACGTGGACAGCTACGACACCGAAGAAGAGGCCACCAGAATTGTAAACGGCGTGGCGCACGTCCATCGGCAAGCGGGATTCGTGCTGCGAAGTTGGAACTCAAACAGCGCAGCCGTCTTAGCAACCATACCCACCGAACTACACGCCCAGTCACCGACCCGACTCGGCGCGAACGTCAATCACTTCGAGAAGACACTGGGACTCCTATGGAACGCCGCCGAAGACAACTTGACATTTAACACCACCATGGCACGGGTACCCGTGGAGGTGAAAGAAGAAAGAAGATCGCCGACGAAAAGAGAGGCTCTGTCGGCTGTCATGTCCGTGTACGATCCACTCGGACTAGTGAGCCCATATACAATCGCCGCGAAAATATTCCTCCAAGATCTATGGCGAAGGAAAATTGGGTGGGATGAGCCGCTACCACAAGAAGACGCCGATAAATTCCACACATGGCTACGGGGCTTACATCGCATGGGAGAGATAGCAATCACACGCTGCTATACAACGGCAACGAAATGTCGACGACGGGAGCTACACGTGTTCTGCGACGCCAGCGAGAGCGCCTACGCCACGGTCGCTTACTGGAGGATCGAGGACGAACACGGAGAGGCTCACGTAGCATTAGTGAGCGGAAGAGCAAAGGTAGCGCCTCTCAAAGCGCAGAGTATTCCGCGATTAGAACTACAAGCAGCGGTTATCGGGACAAGATTGGCGGACACGATAAAAACCGAACACCGATGGGCAATCGACGAAACGGTGTTTTGGACGGATTCAACAACTGTACTCGCGTGGATCAACAACGACGCACGCCGCTACACCGCCTTCGTGTCACACCGACTGGGTGAAATCGCCGAACGAACGGAGCCGAATCAATGGCGATGGATATCCACCGAATTAAACGTGGCCGACGACGCAACTCGAACAAAATACGCCGACGTCGTCCCCGCGAGATGGCTATCCGGACCGGAGTTCCTGCTGCGCGACAGGGAGGAATGGCCTACACGAAGCAACGAAGAGGGACCCATCTCCGAAGAAATAGTGGCCCACACGACCGTCTCTTCTACGAACGAAAATGAAGCGATGCCGAATATAGAACGAATCGGCAAATACGAATGCCTCATCCGCGCCACGGCCTTAGTACTATTGGCTATCGAAAAATGGCATCGAAAGGGCAGCCAGTTGGAACTACGCCACATGACACGAGCTGAAGATATGTGGCTACGACGGGCGCAACGAGAGTCCTTCGGCGACGAAATACGACTGCTTCAACAAGGAAAGAAGATACCACAGTCAAGCCGCCTATACAAGTTAGACCCCGAGCTGATGAACGGAGTACTGCGCGCACGAGGAAGAATAAACGCCGCGACAGTACCAGAAGAAATGAAGAAGCCGATCATATTGGACGGAAAGCACTCGTTCACACGGAAGATCATCGTGAGAGAACACGAAGCGGCGGGTCACGCAAACAGAGAGCGTGTCATCAACGAATTACGACAACGCTACTGGATATTGCGCCTACGTCCGTCGGTTCGCACCGCCACGCGCGCATGCGTGATGTGCAGAGTTAGAAGATCGAAGCCAACAACGCCATCTACAGGGGACTTACCGCGCGAACGACTCAGCCCGCACCTCAGGCCCTTCACGTGCTGTGGCCTCGATTACTACGGGCCAATGACCGTCACCGTAGGACGACGCCACGAGAAGCGCTGGGGCGCATTGTTTACTTGCCTAACCACCCGAGCGATACATCTAGAAGTTGTGGCAAGCCTCAGCACAGACTCGGCGATAATGGCGATAAGAAGAATGGCAGCGCGGCGTGGATGGCCGAAAACTATAATGAGCGATAACGCAACGAACTTCAAAGGCGCCGACAAGGAACTACAAGCGGCCATACGAGAATGGGCCCCCAGACTACAAGATTACCTGCTGCAACGGCGCGTCGAATGGAAGTTCATTCCCCCTGGCGCACCCAACCAGGGGGGAGCATGGGAGCGACTAGTGCGGTCCGTCAAGACAGCTCTAGCCACAACGCTGCACGAGAGGGCACCGAAAGAAGAGGTGCTCCATACGCTGATGACCGAAGCCGAACACGCGGTGAACTCACGACCGTTGACCCACGTATCGGTCAGCCCGGCCGACGCCGAAGCCCTCACACCGAATCACTTCCTCCTAGGAACATCATCAGGTCTACCACTCACCGGCCCCTGTCGACCCTGCGACAGGCGCCAATGGCGGGCCACCCAAGCGCTCGCCGACAGTTTCTGGCAGCGCTGGATGAAGGAATATCTTCCGACGCTGGTACCGAGGGGCGAAACAAGAAAAGAAGCCGCACTTCGAGTAGGCGATCTCGTCATCATCGCCGACCCGAACTCACCGCGCAACATCTGGCCCCGGGGAGTAATCGAACGCATCTTCCCCGGGCCCGACGGCGAGATCCGAAGCGCCGACGTACGCACCAGAGGTGGGCTGTTTCGGCGACCAACGAGGAAGCTCATCGTGCTGACCACCGAGACACTGGACACATTATCCGCACCTCCCCCGGACCAGCGGGGAGGGACGCGCTGCGATCCTGAGCCTGGCGAGCCGTCCGATCCAGCGAAAGGGGCTCCGAGCATCTCTTCGAGCGTCTCTTCGCCGGGGGGAGAACTGTTACGGACGGCGGACATGAAGACCCTTCCCCGCAACCTCACCCCCGCAACGAGTGGAGGGGGCACACCACGGGCAGCAGCGACGGGAGCACCCCCCCGCGACCTCCCCGCCGCATAGTGGAAGGGGCACCGACATAACATGAATCTATTAGGTCAATTAACGCGTTAGGATAGTAGCTAAGTGCGAACGAACAAATCCCACTTAAGTAAACCCGATTTGTATGAAAGCATGCCTACGAACGTTTTCGTACTTTGTACTGCAAATAAGAAGAAAGAATAAACGCCTTCAAATCTCCAAACTGTTGTTTCCATCCCCAACAGTAATGATACAACACTAGTCTTTAAAACAAAGGTTACATATGCATATTTAAAAATCAGCCTGAAAGTATTTTCCTTTTTACTCACCTACTCTATGCACAAACAACTTGGGTTTGGCTGGGAAATTGTAGTTGATGACTGTGTCCAATGATGGTAGGTCAAGACCTCTTGCGGCAACATCCGTTACAATCAGAACAGAGCATTTCTTGTTTGTAAAACGACCAAGTGCTATTTTTCTTGCAGATGAGTCTAAGCCTGAATATGCATAAGTTGATGATATACCTGCTTGTTGAAGGACCTAGTAACAATCATTAATAAGTCAGTTAATCTTTATATGTATTCATATACAATAAATTATACAAGTATTTTATGCATATAAATTGAAGTTTAATTTAGTTATACCCAGTCCTGCCATAAATACTGTTACAAATGAAAAGGGACTATTTTTTTTTCTTTAGTTTTATATAAATGTAAGTGTTATGTACACAAGAAAAATACTCTAAACAATTGTTTTACATAAAATTTTATTCAACGTGAGCGTCCTTAGCGTTTACACAAGCTTTTAAACGTACCGGCCAGTTGTCAATACTTTATGTACGACATCCATAGGGAAGTTGGCTACTGCTCGCTCCAGTGATCTCTTGAGAGATTCCAAATCGTGGTGTCTCTTAGAGCAGGCAATGTTTTCTAAGACAGATCACAATTTGTAATCTAATGGGTTCAGGTCTGGACTGGAGAAGGGCCAATCATCGGCTTTGATAAAGTCGGGAACATTATCCGCGAGCCAAGCTTGGGTGGTGCGTGCCTTGTGACCGGGAGCCGAGTCTTGTTGGAAGGTCCAGAGAATATTAGGAAAGAGTGTGTTGCCTAAAGGTTTCACCACGTCATTTGTAGTTTCTTGGTTCACCTTGGCAGAAGTTTTCACACCCTTTTCACAGAAATGAAACTTGGTAACGCCGTGGTAGGACAACCCCCACCAAACCATCACTGACGCGGGATGGTGGCCTCTCTGGACTCTTTCTACGACTTGGGACACTTCGGTCATTTTACTTGTTGAAATGTTCTTCAATGGTGAAAATTTTCTCGTCAGTAAACAAAATGTTCCTGTGCTTTCCACTTGCGTAACGAACGAGCAACTGTTTTGATCTTTCGACCCTTTTCGTCATTAAAGCTCGATTGAGGGTATGTCCGGTATATCGACGGTAAGTCCCAAGTTTTAGGTCATCTTTGATTATTTAGGACAGTTCTAGGCATGATCTTCATTTCACGGGATAAAATCTTCTGCTTCCTCAAGGGATTTTGTCGAATTCTGGCTCGGACCGCGTTGATAGCCTGTGTGGTTCGAGCAGTACGCGGACGGCCTGATCTCTTGTGGTCATCAATAGAGGAGGTCTCTAAGAACCTATTGATGGTACGATACACAAACATCCGATATATACCTAGCTTCTGAAGGATCTTATAAATCACGGAAGGCTCCATTCCCACTTTATGCAGTGCAATAACAGCGACTCTTTCTTTTTTAATACCCCACTCCATTTTAAAATATTTAATTTATGACTAAAATCTTGTTGTTTTACAAAGAGCAACTCTTAATAAATAAAATGGCATAGCAGCGTTCCAAATTCAAAATACAAAAATTTTGAAAATCTTTACTTTTAAAATTGTAACAGAATTTATGGCCAGACTAGGTATTTATTTAATGCATTCAAAGTTTTAGCAACACTAATAGAATTTTTATTTGCTTACCAGATGTAAATATTCAACATGGTGTTTCGTTGCAGCAAACACTACAGCTTGTGGAGTTTTAGGAGTTAGAACTTTATCTAATAACAGTAACAAGGCTGCAGTTTTCAACTCTGCTCTCACAGATATCCAACCAAGCCACAGTGTTGATGGCAGCTTCCAATCAACATCTAATCGGATCAGTGCTGGATCAGATAAACCAGCTCTGGCAAATTCCACTAACATTTTTGGTAGGGTTGCTGAGAACAGCAATGTTTGACGGTTAGATGGCAACCGTGATACTATTTCTTGTAATTGTTCACCAAAGCCAAGTTCAAATAGTCTATCAGCTTCATCGAACACCATCATCTCTGTAAGAAAATGTAAATGTAAATGGACATTTTCAATAGTAGTAAAAACAAAATATTATTTTCTTATTCTTCATGTGAACCGTGTAGTGTATAATATCAATTGTATTGTTATAAATCATGTTTTTTATTTTTTTTCTGTGTTGTTAATAAAAAAGGACTTACTTATATTGTCAAGCTTTAAGTTCATTTCAATGCAAATGTGTAAGAATCTTCCAGGAGTTGCAACAACAATATCAGGAGCTGTGCCAGACATCACACTGAATTGTTGTTCAATAGACTCTCCTCCGAGTATTGCAGCTGATGTGAGTCCAGTGAATTTGCCCAATTCTCTTATGAATCGTAAAGTCTAAAATCCATAATATTGAATAGAATAGTCATTTAATTAAAACAAATTATTAAGATTTACTACATAAATAGAAAATAAATATTCTGCTACTTCATAAATCAAATAAAAAAGATTAAGTGGTATAGTCTTTTTCACACAGCATGGCTATGGTGATGTTAAGGATTGGAAGTTTATAGTGATACAAAATATATAACAAAAATTCATGAAATTGATTTTTTAACGAAATACTCATGCTATGTGAAACAGACTAGTGATTGTATAGCATAAACTAAACTAAATTAAAATTTAGTCCTGTCAAACTACATTTTCAATTGTGAAAACAACTAAGGTAACAGAAGTAATTCTACTAAACACTTTCCTATATTGGCAGTATAATTATAATTTTTTGATTTCATATGACTTTTAAATATGTAAAAAAATAAACCCTTTAAAATAAAAGTCCCTGGCACCTCGAGATGGGGCTCTAACCCATGACCTTTGGTCTTCCAGCCCGCTGCTCTAACCACTGAGCTACCCAGGACCTATCAGGACTGACAAATTTTTCAAGCACTTGTTACTTTTTTGCTACTACAAAGAGTATTCATATTTCATCAATGTTCAGGCTATCCAGCCAAACAGCCGAAAGAAATATTTTTACAAATATTTAAACTTTTGATAAATATTAAAATTTGTGCTAATTATTATGCTATGCAGTAAAGCACTTTGAATGCGAAATTGAGCAAATATAATAAAATTTTTGGTTTACTTTAAAGAATGGTACCACAAAATTGGTACCATTGTGAATATTTATTTGGTAATTGGTGAGAATAAAATTACCTGTAAGGCCAGTTCTCTAGTAGGAGATAAGATGAGAGCTCTAAAATTCTTCCCTGGCAAAGGTTTGTTTGCAGGTGCACAAAGTTTTTCAAGTATTGGTAGCACAAAACAAGCAGTTTTGCCAGATCCTGTACGTGCCATAGCAACAACATCTTTGCCTTCCAGAGCTAGTGGAATTGTCTGGAAATGAGTTTCAAAATATTCCAAATTAAATAACCTTGAAATGAATTTCAATATAGAATTGGAGAATTATGATTACTCACCTTTCTTTGAATTGGAGTTGGTTGCTTGTATCCTCTTTTTGTTATACCTTTCAAAACAGGAAAACAGAACCCCATGGACTGAAAGCCACCTGAACCCTTTTTTTTCTTTTTGTTACTATGAACTTCTGTTTCAGCACAATTGTCAGCAGATGGTGCTTCAAAACCTGGGAGATCGTCTCCCAATTTATTGGGGTTTAACATTTTGATAAAATTAATTTACATGAGAGTGAAAAGTAAACCTTACAAATGCAAATTAACACGTGCATAAGTTAAGCCATGCCATGACATTTGTTTTGTTTTGATTTGATTTTGACAATGACAGTTGGCATTGACGTTTGTTTTTGGGCTGCCAGATGTGTTATTCAATATCGGCGAAAATACGCTCAAGCTAGAAAAAAACCTTCGTAAAACTCTTGGATCATAAATAACCTACGAATAGCTAACGATGACGTCATTTTCTAGGAGACGTATTTATGGAGACGTATTTACGTAAGAAAGAGATTGATTCTTAATAAAGCCTTCTTCTACGCTGCGAAAAACACTTTTATTTTCATAATCAGTACACTTAAATAAACCAAAAACATTGTGAAAAATAGAGGGTTGACCAGTGTTAGGTGTCTCCAAACTCTGAAGCCTTCGAAACATAGTGATTTTTTCAGTTTGTTCCAAGAGCCAAACCAGTTTTAATTTTTCTGCCCTTATTAACAATATTTCTAGACTAGAATAGTCGCAACGCGCACTTTGCGAACCTAAGCAAACTTACGTCTTTTTGCATTTCAATTATTATTGTGTATTGTGACACTTAACGACATCGAGTGGCGAGTAGTGATACTATGTATTGTACAGTGTACTATCTATTTCAGCTACCCGCTAACAGGTGGTATTAGTCGTAATTAAATATTTCGAATTAACTCGTTGGTTCGAGAAAGTTCTGGTTCTGGCTAGCTAATGTATTCCGATCACTTCGAGATGGCAGTATTTGCATATAAAAAGGCTAGCGGTGCAACTGCGAGTCAGTCTACTTAGAAAAGGCGAAGGAAGCAAAACTGTCTATTGTGAAATAAAGTAACACCCGTGCACAAAAGTATTTTGATTTGACTTATTGTTTTTATGTGCGATATGTTAGTATGGAAAAGAAGCGAAAAATCGACAGCGAATGCAGAACGTTCCAAGATAAATGGAATTTTCAGTATTTTGTGATTGAGTCCAGAAATAAGGCGCTATGTTTAATTCGTAATGAAACCATAGCTGTTCTTAAAGAATATTACATTAAACGACACTATGAATCGAAACATCTTCAAAATTACTCCAAGTATACAGGAAGTTTGCGGACGGAACAATTTGAAGCTTTGAAACGTAGACTCAAATCGCAGCAATCTTTGTTTACCAAAGCGAATACTGAACAAGAGTCTGCAACTCGCGCCAGCTTTCGCATGGCTCTTGAAATCGGAAAACGTGGCAAACCATTCATCGATGGAGAAATGATAAAAAATGCTTGATTGCAGTAGCCGAAGAAATATGCCCCGAAAAGGTAAATTTATTTAAAAGTGTCAGTTTGTCAGCAAACACCGTGGCTCGGAGGGTACAAGACATCGCAGAAGATATATAATCTTAACTGTCTGACAAAAATGGACATCATGAGTGGTTTTCTCTACCATTGGATGAGGCAACGGATGTGTCAGATATTGCTCAGGTGTTGATTTTTATTCCCTATGAAGTGTATGAAGAACTTCTTGATATTGATAGTATTCATGGCACGACAACTGGGGAAGATATTTTTAAAGGAGTTGAAAATGCCATTAATAAAAAAACCTTCGATGGAAAAATTTAAAATCTATTACAACTGATGGAGGTAAAAATATGTGTGGTAAAATAAAGGAGTGGTTGCACTTGTGTCAAAGGCTGAAGAAAATTATGGTGGTTCAAACCGTTAGTCTTACATTGTATCATGCATCAACAGTCCTTGTGCGGAAAATGTTTGGATATGTCTGAAGTTCTAAAATATCTCTGAAGTCATATCAGTTGTTAACTTCATCTGATCCATTGGGCTGAATCACCGACAATTCCGCGAGTTTATTCAAGAGATTGGAGAAAATGACTTACCATATCATACTGCCGTACGCTGACTTAGTTGCGGAAAAATTCTTAAACGCTTTTTTGAACTTCGAGCAGAGATCGAGCTTTTTTAAAATGAGAAACAGCGCCCTTTTGCCGGTTTAGAAAATAGTGAATGGATGTGGAAGTTAGCATTCTATGTCGATTTGACAAATCATATGAACGAACCAAATTAGAGATTGCAAGGAGACAATCAGCTTCTCCCTGATTTATACACCAATATCATATCCCTCAGGCAGAAAATAATACTATTTCAATCGCAATTACGTAAAAAATGTTTCACACATTTTAAAACATGTGAAATATTCAGCCACACTACAGAGACTGAATTTCCCGTCAATTTTGCAATTGAAACTGAGTGCTTTGAAGATAAATTTTGATACTTGTTTCTCAGATTTTGATGTCATTGCGAATGAAATTAAGCTTTTTCAAAATCCTTTTGATTCTGACATCGAAACCCTGGCCCCGGAAGGTCAAATGGAAAAAATTATTGATTTACAGTGCAGTGATATGATTAATAACAAATATCAAAATTGAAATATCTTACTTTTGTGAGAAGAGAGTTAGAGTTTTCCAAGATGAAGTACACAAAAAATATTTACTCAATTAACCGATGAGAATCTTAAATCTCTTTTGATAATTGGTATAAGTAAAATAGGGTATTTGACACTTTTTTGAAAACTATTTAAAATCGTTGTTTGCTTCATTATAAACACACTGTCTTTATATTTCATAGAAATCTTTTCTATTTTTGGCGAAAACGATTGTTAAAATTTAAATAGCCAAAATCGCGCGAAAAACGCTGCTCTATGTAATGGCGCTGATCGTGACATCACAGGCCAGTAAATATGTCAAATGGATAAGTACGAACTGTCTTTAAAGTAAATTCAAAATAATAAACTAGAAGAGAAGTTGAAGTCTTAGTGCGTAATTTTTACGTTTTTTTTAATTTGCCTCTACTCTGGTTTTCTTTATAAAATGAGCTACAAGTGGTGCGTAGTGCCACAATTTACTAATACTTCTATTAATAACAAACAAACTCGACCTACAGATGGATTAGACATTAGTACGGAAAAGAATGTACTATTTTGATTTTTTATACATGCATGTAGTATATCTGTCCACTAAATGCATGGCACTCGATAATTAGGAATCAGATCCCGATGACTTTATAAGATTAATTTTAACTCGGAGAACAGCATATATCGTCAAAATCGACTTTTGAATTATTATATTAAAGTTCAAGAAATGAGAAAAACATGTAAGTTGCTCTTTTTTAAATTGCTGACGTTTTCCTTATTTTTTTTTAAAAAAAGCTTAGTAAATGATTTTTTCTTTCTGTATTTCTTTTTGGTAGTTCTTATCACCAGAAGCGGCAAAGTATTCTGTTATCTGTAAATTACTATAAAGTACTCGATACCTACAGGCATCGATATTTTACGTATCTTTCTAACACTACTTTGACATGACAGCTGATGACGTCACAGGCTAGCATAGAGATAAGCAGGCTAGTAAACAGAATCGTTATTGGTTGTGACGACTACCAATCATAAGACGTTTTCGTCGTTGAATAAATTCCTAAAAATATTGCATTTTCTTTACGTTATTTTACTTAATCTAAACATGTTTTTTCTGTAGATGATAAGAAATAAGCCTTATTAGATTATTATCTATCAGGATGACCACAAAATACAACTTATTTTCGATAGTGTCAAATACCCTATTGATCGACAACTACAAACTATTGTCGGTGGAAAATCACAATTACATAAATCTCATTAGTGTTTTTGTTTTACTGTGATTAGTGGGATTCATTTCAATTGTTTGTTAGCCAGATTGATACACTGGCGGTCCGGATTTTGGCGGTTCGTAGTATGGGGCCCCCCTGCCTTAATATACGATATATAGTTTTGTTATTGTCTCTTTACGTGTAAAGGCCACTAACGTGATATTGGCGGAATTGTGTAAACGCAAATAGGCCATACATTTACAAAAGAAAACGTCATTACCTGACATTACTGGTTTGGTGAAACGACAAATATTATTCTTAATATTAAGGGTATGTTCCGATATACACTGCGACCACTGAACAGTATGACGTCAATTTAGTATACTGGACGCCCGTTCTTTTATAGCTAGTTATACTGGTGACTTTTTAAAACGGAACGCAGTCCAGTATACTGTTAATCCTATTATTTGGCGCCATTTTCAAATTTGTTAATGCAAGGTGAATATAAATAAAGATTCCCTCTTTTCCAAAGAAAATATTATAAAATTGTGTATAAAAAAATTATTTATCAATTAAATCCATCTTATAATACACGTAAGTATTTTTTTTTGTTTATTTAGAAACTTATCATTTTCTGATTCTGTTTCGACTGATCACGTGATCAAAAGCACTGCGAGCACCTTACCTCAAAATCTCCAGTGCTCACAGTACAAATATGGCGGCAATTTATGACGTCATGAATTTCCCTAGAGTACTGTAGCAGTGTACTGGCAGTCCATAACGGAACGGATTTTTCAGCAGTAAGACCACTGCGCAGTGCTCGCAGTGTATATCGGAACATACCCTAAGTGACTTCTAGCTACGCTATGCCTTGTTCTAGGTTAGTGAAAACGGGCATGAAAAAAACATGACCAAAAAACATTAGTCTTATCCACGGACCACTAAAATATCAGACACAAAATTATGTCCACGGTTTGATTGAAAACAGTAAAGAATCATGTCAAATCTTGGCTTATTTATTTCTTGTATCTCCGCACGGCTTGTGCTTAGCCAAGGACATATTATTAGTTTGTGGGTAAAGTTAGGGAAACGCCAGAAAAGGGATAAGGGTAAAGGTTTTCTTGAATTTGGCATAATTAGAATTAGAGGGGTATAAGGATAAGATGAAGGACATAATTTAAAAATTTACTAACGCGTCTAGTGATGTGATATATATCAAAATGTAGCTCTTGCCATTTTTACTTTTGTAAGGAAATTAAATGTTAAAATAAAGTCAGGATAAAAATAATTATTTATAAAATAGTATTATGACTACTACCCAAATTCGATTCGGACCTTAAAATGACGGTTTACTATATTACCACAATGCAATTCGGACCTAATGACGTGTCGCTACTTTTCATTTCATTTAACATGAAAAAAATCTTTCGTCATATTATGGTAAAAAAATTACATTTAGATTTATTTCTATATTTACGAATCAAACTTTGAAAAGCTTTGATTTTAATGTATTAAATTTTTAAAGTAACCTCATAATTATCTCGAGTTTTGACGGCTGTTATAACTTCAAAACTTTACTTATAAATGACAAATCTCCTTGGCCTCCAGATAAAAAGATATTATTTTATTGCAAGCAAAAAAAAAAACCAATTAAAATTATCACTTAAACATGTGACAGGTCAATCAACGTATGGAAAGTGGACATGATCCTTGGAACCATTCATTTATATTACAAAAGAATTTGTCCTTTATTACTCACCTTCTGCTGTCCGTCTATCTGTTATATAAGACTGTTTTTCATGAACCGTGATAATAAACAGCTAAAAAAATTACAGATGATGTATCTCTGTTACCGTTATAACAAAAACTTCTAAACACAACAAAAAAACATATTTTAAAGGGGTTCCCTTACAACAAACGTGGTTTTTTTTTAACTGATCTTTCTTAATATTACAACCGGGATATCAATTTAAAATAAAGAAAATAGTTTTGACAGCAGAGAAGGTTTATCGTATATTTATTATAATCCTATCACTTTTTGATGCTTGTGTTCATCCGCATAATCATGTTAACTAATATTCACCAACCAATCTGCGCGAGGGCCGCTTGGCAATCGTGCATGGCTTATTTTCCTAGGTTCCATAATTTGACATTAATAGGCTGATAGTAATGATCTCATGATAAATTCTATCGAGGAGGATCGCGTTCTGAATCTGGATGTAGTAAAACAAGTGAACTGAGTCGACTCATTTTATGGGTCTGGTTCGCCTTTTTAAAAAGGATTTAGATCCAGGATAATATGCGAGATCTGATGACGGAAGTGATCCAATTTATTTTGTATCTTGATAACGACTTTGGTTTGAAATAAAATGCTGATAATAGAACTAGAAGGTGGAATAACATGGAAACCAGTAATCTGTCAATGTACTTATATTGCGTCATAACAATTTTGTATTTAAAACGTATAGCAAAATTTTTATATTCTTTAAGAAACCAACCCATTAGCGCATATAGTTCCCAACGATAAAAGTAATCTAAATTAAAAAATCGTTGTAGATGTCATTAATAAATGAATAAGTATTTAAGCTCCTAAGAGCGAATCCTTGAAAATAGAAAGTGACTTCATAGTCTAATGAAGTCACTTTCCAATAGGACTTATTGGTATGAAATAAAACAGGGAGAAAAAGAGCAGCCCTTGCTTAGTTTCTTGCCGGTTCTTCTCAGTACAAGGTCTCCCGCCGTAGTTTTGCGAACCATTGGCGTAGTTTCGAATTTTACAAGTGCAATGTATAATGCCTAGAATTAGACCATGACTGAATAAACAATTTTGATTCAATTTGATTTGAACCCTGCGGTACATCAGACGGGTTCGTTACTCAAATAGATGTGTATCTTGATAGT